CTTTTTATCTTTTAGTATAATTTTAATATTATAATCTATATATTAGGGTAACTTTATATTAAGTTCTTCTTAAAATAGTTTTTTATAAATATAATACTCTAATAGTATATTCTTAAGTTATTTATTAGATTCCTTTATAGTAATCTGTTTTATCTATTTAATATCTTAGTCTAATTATCTAAATTATCCTTTAAGAGTTACTATTATTTATTTAATGCATTTTATTCTGCCTTTGTAGTACTTATATCGTATTCCTTTTAGAATAGGCAATACTCTATTATGCCTATCTTTGCTGCTCTTATTAGTTAAAGTTTAAGATCTTATATTATTATTATCTAAATTAAACTTATTATCTGAAGGGTAATCTTTGCAGTTTACCTAGCTAGTTCTCTAGTTAATTTATATATTATAGTATTATAACTATGGAAATCTAAGTATTAAATTATGTTTCTATATTAGGATAATATTAAAGTCGATACCTTGGTTTTTTCTGTTAATAAATACCTTAAGGTAATTAATCTCTTAGGTAATTCTTCTATTATTATAACTATAAGTGCCTCCTTCTCTATCCTTTATAGTATAGGGTTCCTTTTTATTTCTCTATAATAGCCTTAGTTTATTAACCGTTTTAAGGGAAATAAAATTTATATTAGCTTTGCTATTTATAAGTGCATTTAGCTACTTATCCTTAATTCTAACTTTTAATTCTAGGTAGGTTTATTGACTTCCTTTTATAGTTATTCTTAGAGCTTTTTCTAGGAGTTTATTTTTTTCTGCTTTTTTGCCTATCTGCTGCTTTATTATAGATAGTATATGCCTTTTCCCTATAGGTAATTTATATTATATTTGCTTCTGGTGCAGTTAATATTATTAGGATATTTATATTAGGTAGTAAGTTGTTATTAGTATATAGCTTTTATTTTTCCTACTTTATAGTCTAGGATAATATTTACTTTTTCTTCTTTAGTAAGGGGTCTTCCTCTTTCTTATTCTGATTCTTCTAAGCATTCTTATAATTATTACTTATCTAGCTATTAGATAATATCTTATTTATCTTAAGATACTTCTTCTTCCTATTAGGTAATATCTTAGTTAATTTAGTTAAGTTCCTAGTTAAGTGCTTTATCTTTGGCGATTTTAACTTCTTATTATACTTTTTATTTCTACTAGGTAATATATCAGGAAGTCTAGATATATACTAGAGCTTATTCTTATATTTTAATATAAGCTTTTAGTTTTACTACTTAAGATCCTTTATATCTCTTTATAACTTAATATCTAATAGTATTAATAATTATATAAGGTTTTTATTTTTAATGCTTATTAATTTATACTAAGAAGTAATTATTTGCTATTTTATCTTACTAGTATTATAGGCAGTAGTATTATATATATAATATCTATAATATCTGCTAATAGTTTAGGTAATTTGGGTATCTCCTTAGATCTTTTTTAATCTAAATGCATTCTTTAGGTGTTATAGAGTCTTCTACTGCTTCCTTTATATATGCTTAGATATAGATATTATTATCTTATTCCGTAATTGCATATTTTTTTGCAAGTTCTGTATATTTCTAATGTTTATTATTCTAGAAATAGACTTTATGTTTATTATATTAGGGTATAATTTCTGCATTCTAAACTATTTTATTTTCCTTATATCTAATATATCTAGAATTAAATTCTCTCTAGACTTGGCAAGATTCTAGATAGTTTAGATCATTGGTGTATTGGTTTGGTTATTTCGGGGTAACTTTAACAGGGATTTCGTCTACTGCTGAGTAGGATCTTTGGTTATTTCTTATAGTACTTAGTTTATTATCTAGGTTAGGGTTAATTTCTTTTCCCTTTTTGACTATAAAAATGGATTTTCCTTCGATGGTGTATTATATTTCTGGTTTAGGTACTAGTACTTATTTAAGTTTGACTTCTGTATCTTATTTTGCCTTTAGTCTTTATTATTTTTATTATTTGCTTTCTTTTCTTTTAAATTCAGGATCTTCTCGTCTTTTTGCATTATATGCTCTTTTCTTAGCTTATTTTTCGCTTTTGCTTTACATATAGGTTATTGCTATAAGAGCTAGGTATCCTAAGATAGGTTATTATTCTAGTTCTAGATATAGGTAGTATCTCTTAAGGGCTTCTTCCTTGCTAAAGAATAGATCTTAAATATTAAGAGATAGGTTAAAGTTCCTAATATATTTTATTAGTTTAGTTATATTATAACTATCTTTGCAGGTTATATTAATGGTTCTAATTACCATTTAGGGTTCTTTGTATTTCTTAACTATACTAATCTTCTTATTTTCTAAGACTAGTCTATACTTCTAATTAGTCTTAATGGGGTTCTTATATTTTAAATTATAATATCCTTTCTTACTGCAGTTTTAGTAAGTAATTTTGGATTTATCTTTCTTGGTTATTCTGATGGTTATTAGTCTAGAGTTAGTGCTATAAGAAGTATTATTATTTTATTTCTTTCCCTGGTTGGCGTTATAGTATGGCTTATTTCCCTGGTATCCTTGGTTATTTTAGTTATAGCGGATTCTCTATTAGAATTATATATTATTAACCTTAATGGCTCTGCTAATATAGTTAATTAGTATCCTTAGTCTAACTTCCTTATAGAGTTCTGCTTAAACTATTTCTTTAAGTCTATTAAAAAAGAGTAATATAAGGGGTTCCTGGTCTTATCCTAGCTTAGTGGCTAGTTAGAGAAATTTAGTTTTATACTCTAATACAGATTTAGTTTATTAAAGTACTTTAATCTTTCTTTCTGCTTAGCTTTTTTTATTAACTAACCTAAATGCTTATTATATAGCTTTCTTAAATTTAATATAATTATTATAAATTTAAAAAGTTCTAGGTAGTAGTTTATCTTTTAGCATAGTAGTAATTACTTCTAATATGGGTTAAAACTATTAGGCAGTATTACCTTTAAGACGTCTTAATGCATATATAACCCTATTACTATTATTAATAAACTAGTTTAGAAAGTAACTTATATAGGCTTAGCATTAAGTAAGGAAGGTAGCTAGTCTAGCAGGGTTTCTATTAAATAATTCAGGTGCATTAGGTTTAAGAATTTCCCCTAATTCTTTCCTATTTACTGCAGTAGCAGTAAGTTAATATATTTCCTAAATTACATTTTAGTAATTAGCAGCCTGCTATACCTAAAGCATAGCGGCTTTAGCTAAGGCTTATCTAAGGTTATTTATTTTAGTTATTATATTAATTATCTGCTAACAGAGCTAGGTAATATTAGAGTTAGTACTACTCTCAGAATTATTATCTATATCCTGATTATTATTAATAGGTGCTAAAGTAGCATAAGGTATAGCATATTACTATGCAGGGTTAATATAGGCAGCTATTATATTTATATTACTTAGTATTATGCAGTATAGTCTAAATAAGAGCTATTAATATATAACAGTTGGTTTCTAACTGTAGATAAATTAAGCTATGCTAAGTTTATTATTAGCAGATAGCATAGGGCATAATACTAAGCTTATCGAAGTGTTATATCTCTTAATAGTAGATTTAATGTATATTAGGCTTAATTAATATAAAGAAGTTTTATTAATAGCTAGTAAGGTAAGTTCTATAGAAGTATAATAAATATGATCTATATACTTAAGGTGGTTATAGAGTAACCTACGCAGTCACTATATGATTCCGAGAATCACTGGTGTTTTCAAAGTAACTGTCGTGACTAGATCTTAGCAGTCACGAATGGAATCTTTTAGTCTATAATAATCATGCGTAATTGGTGAAAAATGTGGGGTACACGTGACGTAACCGCTAGGATCGTAACAACCAGGACTAATAATAACCTTATATTATATTACTCCTATATAACTATTATTAATATATAGAATATATTTATTAGCACTTTTATAGGACTTAGCTTACTAGCTATTAATAAAATATCTTTATATTAATAAGCCTAATATATATTACTTAATCATTAAGAGATATAACACTTTGCATCACTTAGTATTATACCCTATGTTATCTGCAAACATAAACCTAGTACGGACTAGTTTACCTGTTTAGAAACCTAACTATTATATATAGTAATAAATTATAATTAATATAATAAGTTAATCTTATAATCTTTAATTACTAAATATAGCTTTATAATATTATATAAAATATATTTATTATTAAATATATTATAAGCTAAATAAAGGTATTAAAAAACCTAGTTAATTACTTAAAATAAGGTTAAGATATATTAAGGTAATAATAGGCCTTTATTAATAAAATTATATTAAGTAGCAGTAATAGTTTATATTAGGTATAATTTATAAAATTAAAGTATATAATTTAATTAATTAAATTAATAATATAAATATTATATTATAGAAATTAAGGGCTATTATAAGGTAAAGGAGAGGGAATAAAGGGGGGAAAAGGTAAATTAAAAAAAGAAGGTTTTAGTATTTAAAGAAAAATTATAAATATTAGTAGACTAAGGCTAGCTTAATAGGTTAGTAATAAATTAGATTAGGTTATAAAATAATATAATAGGAGAAATATAAGTTAAGGATAAATATAGTTAAATAATACTTAGAATAATTAAATATAATAAGATTAATTTTAAATAACTTCTAATATATTTAAAAGAGGATTTTAAAATAAGACTTTAAAATATTAAAATATTAAAAGGTTTTTACTCTAAGGGGGTATATTAAATTAGTAAGATTATAAAATTAAGTCTAATTATATAATTCTATAAGTAATTTAGCCTAAATAAGCCTTAGCTAAGGAAGATATTAATTATATAACTAGAAGGGGTTTTAAAAGTAGAGTAATAGGATATTAGAAAATAAGATAAATTAATTAAGAAGAATTAAATTAATAATCGGTTCAACAGCTCTTAGCCATAAGTCTCAACTGTAAAAAACACATCTGGCTCACAACTTAGATCTTATACCACAATGCCTGACCTATTGCTATAGCATAAGGCGAATAAAACTCATTATCCTCACTCTCTAGCTATTGGTGCCATAATACTGTGACATACTCCCAACGGCCATCATATCCTCAAAGCTGATAATACGATCCAGCTCAAGAAAGTCATTGTTCATCAAAGTTTGAGATATTGTGAACAAGTCATCCCTTGAGATTGTAGTTGGGGATTGCGAGTCGACATGCCACTGGTCGTTGCTTAGTTGATCTGGATAATGCGCTCCGGGTGTCAAGTCATTGACGGTCGGTGGCATATTTGTGTTGGTGGGGGCGTGACTGTTTCGGGCGGCTCCGGAAGTGTTGAGCCTCGAACTGAAGACAGGACCTTCAACTTCAAGTGCTGAGACCGAGCCTGGTATTCTTTGGCCTGTAGCTGCTCTCTGGGAATGTTGGTGTTGACTTTGCAGGCTGTGGAATAGTTGGTCAAAGAAGTTGGGAGCTTTGTTTGTTTGATCTGCCTGTTCAAGCCCAGCCCATCGATTAGACATATCTGTCAAGTTATCCATCAGGTTCTGGAATTCCTTTGACAAAGGAGTAGTGTAGTATTGAGAGTGAACTGCAAAACTGCATCAGAGATGGCCATACAAGTGTCAAGATTCTTACCTAGCAGAGTTCTGGCACTGACGAAAGCGCATATTCCCATTTGTGGTGGCACAGGACGAGCTGATGGGGATCCTCCGAGGTACTTGGTCGTGATATTCGCTGTCTCAATTGCGGCACTGAGGCAATTCTGAGCGCTGAACTGACTGGGTATATTCAAGCCCAGAAGTTCAGAGTCCGGGTATGCAATACGCTCGTGGAGGAGGATGACAGACGTGTTGTGCGTCGCATTGGCTAGTGTCATGCTGGGGTCCATTATGCCAGGCATTATCTTACGCGATACGCCCGAGTCTTTCCATTGTTGGGGCAAGTACATCTTCCAACTATCATTGTCAGTAAAAAGCGCGACTGAAAGAACAACACTTACTGTACTAAACGGAGATCGAGTTCTTTGAACTTGGTCAACCAAAGAGAAACCTCCTGTCTATTGGTGAAGTCCACAGTAGGCTGCAGGAAGGTCTTCGATATCTGGCAAAGTGAATCGATCGACTGGATGTAATAAGCTAAAGCGCCAATCTTGGATATATCACCAGTTGCCTTGTCGCCGGTTCGAATGCTATAAGTACTCGCTGGTCGCTCTGCACCACCAGCAATGCTTCCTACAGAGTAACAAGGACTCGTACCGTGACTGTCATGTGCTGCAGGTTGGTCCCAATTCCCAAAGTAGGGTGTGACAGCTGGCTCGTTATGGAACCAACTTCCGCCGCATATAGGCAGTCTTCGACGAACATCCCCTGAATTAATGCCTGGATTCCACCTAGGATTTGTCAGGCATGTCACTGATAAGAGAGCGAAGAGACCTTACCCCTTGATGATAGATGAGATTCTATCAAGGATGAAGATGTTCCAGAAAATCCGTCTTCGTTCCTCTTCCTCCAGCCAGTCTCGTGGCTCCGGTAGCGATGAGCTATCTGATAATAGTCCTCTCTTGCGTTCATGCACTTCAGATTCAACGGATAGTCCCGTGTATTCGACTGTTCTTGTCAGAGTCCCAACAATGGGCCAGGCTTTTTCCAAGTTGCCATTTCCGATCTGAATCTTTAGTGGAAGTGCTATTAAAGTCAGGGAATGTGACTCACCTCCGTAAATGCAATCATAATGAGTGCTTGCAAGTTCTCTGTCCTTAGACCCTCCATCGCACCCATCATCACACTCGTTCGCAGTCTTGACGTCTCGCTACTGATAAAAGTGTCATCCAGTGGTTTGTCATTGATCTCGACATAGCGCAGAGAGGCTATCATCATTGCCTCGAGCACAATCGTCATCTGTTGCTCAGTATCTCTCTGAATACTTTCATGAAACCCTCTCATGATTACCATTGGGATCCATGGCTGGATATTATCAAAGTGTGCCTCAAGTAGTTTGTCCAAATGGTCCTGGACAATGTCGATCCTGCAAACCGAGGCTTGGCGAGTTCGTTGATGGGTAATATCTCCATTACTGGATTGGTGTTGCTCTTGGGCAATATCTCGCCTTTGTCTCTTGAATAATGCGTGGACCTTTCTGTATGGGTCATATTCATATTGTCTTTTGCGAGTCGGCTCAATGTTTTTATTCAGCTTTTGTAACTCACCAGCGAGCGTAGAAAGGATTGCTTCCAGAGGCGCTGAGCTGCTACTACTTGTTCTATCGGCCGAGAGATGGCAATTTGTGCCTTCAGAGTCTCGTGTGCCCTCCTCAAGTGCTGAGCCGAACAATGCTTTCTCGACCTTTGCTGTCGTTCTCAATGAGCATGCGTCTTGCTGGAGCGCTGGACTTGACTTAGTTCATACCTAATCGCTGATTGAGACTCTCGACAGCGCCGCCTTTCAAGCCTGGCTTCGTCCGACGGTTTTCGTAAACACAAGGTGCGCCTGCATGATGTGAACAAGAGGAACTTCGATGCTGGTCCTGGCTGTTCACTCACCCAATCGCTCACAATTGGAACAAGCTGGTCTCTGCCTGGAACACTTGAGTTTCCGTTTCCGGCAGCCACTGCAAGATGGGAGCTCGGCTTCGGGGGAGTCATCGTGCGACAAATCCATCGTGTCCGGAAGTGTCGTGAAAGTTGGAACGAGGTCGAATCATTTTTACCGTCGGCGAACTTGCCGCTAACATGGCTGGCTAGCTGGCTTGGCTCAAATCTGAGTGGATGGCGTCGATGTTGTTTGTTCCCCACTTGAGTTTGCTGCGATTCATTTGCCAGCTGTATTGCCCTGCAAACCGATTCGGTAGCTCGCCGTTGGCGATGATGATTGGTGGTGGCCAAAGTGGAATGCTGTCACGAGGGTTGTGACAGGGGAGCATTCCCCTGCGCTAGAACACATTGGGCACGGGTCTCGCATAATCATCGGCCGATGCTTCAACCGAGGATACACCCAGCTCTCCAGGGTAACACTCATGCGACACTATTGCTGCCATGGACTCTCCAATCAGGGATATTGATGACCTGGTTCAGAGATGAAATTGCCGGTCTGCAGTTCCACAGGATATTTGAAGACATTTTGTCGGATACCTGTGCGAGTGACGGCTGTTTACTCCGAAGGACTTTGTCCGTAATTGGTAGAAAAAGGTCCTGTCTCAAGGTTTTGTTGGCAGCATGTTGTCTCTTTCAATATTTGGCGTAGTCTAGACTCATCGCGACAGTCCAGCCGCATCACCTCTTGTTCCAACACAAACCGTCACTATGCTCAAACCTCAGGCTAACGCTTCTCGAGAGCTTGTCTCACTGGATGGTGTCTGGAACTTTGCCCTCTCTCAATCAGTCGACATTGACGATGAAAGAGCTTGGGAACGGAACATACCGCCAAAGCTCCAAGTGCCTGTCCCCGCCAGCTACAACGACATTTTCATTGACTCAGATATTCGCAATCATGTTGGTTGGGTCTACTATCAGAGGCGCTTCACCATCCCACTTAGCTGGTCTCAACAGCGTTACTTTCTGCGCTTTGATGCTGCCACGCATCGAGGGCGTGTGTACGTCGACGATCAATTCGTAGCTGAACATATTGGGGGCTACACTCCATTCGAGGTGGACGTCTCGGACATTGTCCAGCCTGGCAAGCAAGTCCGCCTTACTGTGGCGGTCAACAATGAACTTGACTGGCATACAATTCCACCAGGAAGGATTGAGACACTCAAGAATGGCAAGCGAAAGCAACATTATCAGCATGACTTCTTCAACTATGCGGGGCTTGCGAGATCTGTATGGCTGTACACTGTGCCCGGCATCTCTGTCAAGGACATCAAAGTTGTCACCAAAGTGGAGGGGACTACTGGTATTGTGGACTTCGATATTGTTACAAGTATCCCTCTGGACCAGCGCTCAATCAAGGTGGCACTCTTGGACGAAGATGAATATCCAGTCAGTCACTCTTCTGAAATGAATGATTCCTTGATCGTTGAATCGGTTCACCTTTGGCAACCAGGAGCTGCGTATCTCTACCAACTTCGTGTGGAACTATTCTCTGGGAGCACGGTAGTAGATACTTACGACCTACCGGTGGGAATAAGGACAGTCGAGGTCTCAGGAAACAAGTTTCTCATCAATGGAAAGCCATTCTACTTTACAGGATTTGGTAAACATGAAGATACACCAATCCGAGGGAAAGGTCATGACCCAGCCTACATGATCCACGACTTCCAACTGATGGAGTGGATGGGAGCCAACTCTTTCCGAACTTCCCATTACCCATACGCAGAAGAGGTTCTCGAGTACGCGGACCGTCATGGAATTGTTGTCATCAATGAGACAGCTGCAGTTGGCCTCAACCTCACCATTGTTGCTGGGCTCTTTGGGCATAAGCCGATACCAACCTTCTCACCAGAGACGATGAACGACGAAACACGCGCCGCCCACGCTCAAGCCATACGTGAGCTCATCGCTCGCGATAAGAATCACCCCAGTGTTGTCATGTGGACGATTGCAAATGAACCTGCAGCCAGTGAACCTGGTGTCAGGGAGTATATGGAGCCTTTAGTCAAACTGAATCGCGAATTGGATCCGACGCGCCCTATTTGCTTCGCCAACGAGAACCAGGCCAACATTCACACTGATCTAGTTGCTGATCTATTTGATGTGATATGCCTCAACAGGTACTACGGCTGGTATCTCAATACTGGCGACCTCGAAGAAGCAGAGCAAGGTCTGGAGGAATGTTTGCGAAGCTGGGAGGGTAAATACAACAAGCCAATCATCATGACGGAGTATGGTGCTGATACTCTCGCTGGACTGCATACGGTTGGAGATATACCTTGGAGTGAGGAATATCAGAGTCGCGTCCTGGAAATGTCCCATCGAGTATTTGATAGGGTGGAGAGTGTAGTCGGAGAGCAAGTCTGGAATTTTGCGGATTTCCAGACCCCATCTAGCTTCATTTTCAGGGTTGATGGCAACAAGAAAGGTGTATTTACGCGGGATCGGAGACCAAAGAGTGCTGTGCAGGTGTTGAGGAAGAGATGGACCGAGATGATGGCTAACAATTAACTATCTCATAACGTAACAGCACATTTATGTATATAGAAGTATTGAATCTAAAATACGGTTCAAATACCATTCTGCTATTATGTATGAAGCAGGTCCCAAAGTATGCTATGCCAGTTCTCCAAGCATGATAACAGGTTACGTAGATATTGACATGATCTTCACAAGACAGGCTTCTTCATAAGGTCCAACTCCAAACACCTTGTCTATTGCATCACAACCATTCAATCAACATTCTGCGGACAGCTGTCCGGTGGCGGCCACACATGGAACATCCAGACCATTCATTACAGACCTCCTGACGCTGCTTAAACCTCGTCAATCATCCCATTTTCCCTGCTGAGCCTTAGTCTAGAACATTAATGTTCCATGCTTTTCCCGATATTTGCCCGTTAGCCGTCGGCGAGGACTAGCTGATGTCAAAATCTAAGGCGCTCCTTGCCAATGCTGCCCGTAACATGCCAATCATGGTAAGGCCATGTTTTGAGTTCGCCGGCGCAGGAGGAATCATCGGCCGATGAAACCCCCGAACTACGGCAACTATTGGAAAAACCTGTCATGGATGGCCTGATACTACGCTTGTGGCCTTGCAATTCCGCACTACTACTCTACTCTGGGGTTAGACCCATAATCCCCGCATTGCGACAGTAGCAGTACACCACTTCCTCGGTTTCTCGCTACCAATCTGTGGGGATCTGGGGTACGAGCGGCTTTCAACAGGCGAATTGTCGATGCAAATCATGTGTAAAGCATCACGTTGGTCGGAATTCTCGCCGATGGTATCTGGATCATTGGTAGATATAAATAAGAGTGCCTCTGCAGATCATTAACTTCATCTCTTCAAGACAGTGGATTCCCATTCACCTTTGCCTCAAAGACAACGCCAAGAGAGAAGTATCAACAATGGCGAAAAGCCTCGAGAATGTCGACATCGTTCAGGCTGAGCATGAGCATGACGAGAAGAAAGGAACGAGTGATGCAGCACCAACCTCTGCATTTGCGGGCTTGACGCGTGCTCAATGCGTTAGGAAGTTCTGGCGACTCTACATCACCGGACTAGGTGTCTCTTTGGCGGGAATGTATGTACCAGCTCCGAACCACCAACTGTGACATGAGGAGTGCTGATTCACTTGTCAACAGGTATGCTGGATATGCCAACTCGGTTATCGGAAGTATCATTGCCAACGAAGGCTTCATCGAGTACTTTGCCACCGTCAAAGATCCACAAACCGGCAAACCAGCTCTCAACTCGCAACATATCTCGCTCTGGGCGGCCTGCTACTTTGTCACCTCCATTTTGATCCAGACTATTGCTCCAGTCACTGCAGATAAATTCGGTCGAAAATTCAACATGTGGGGAGTGACATTCTTTCTGACTCTGGTAGGTCTTTGTTCAAGTTCAACCACAGCGGCATAATTCTAACAGACAACTATCAGTCTATTGTAATCCAGGTCATTGCGCCCAACTGGTGGACTCTTCTCATTGCTAGGCTCGTGGCTGGCTGTGCAGGCGGTATGATGGGAACATCAGTCATGGTCTACATGTCAGAGGTTGCTCTTCCTCAGTTCCGTGGTGCTCTTTTGGGCAGCTTCTCCCTTGCTTTTGCGTTGGGTCAAGTCTTCCTTGCCATTGCTCTGAAGGTCCTCGAGGAAACGAATCCAATGGCGTTCCGTCATATCTTCTACTCAGAGTTCGTCTTTACTGGTCTTTGGCTTTTCCCCATGTTTTATCTTCCTGAAACACCCTGTAAGTCCCCGGATCGTTTGACCCCACGAGACGAATGGCTGACATGTGGAAATTTAGCTTGGTATGCATCAAAAGGGAGACACGATGAAGGCAAGAAGGCCCTGAAGCGACTTGTCGGTAATGTTGAAGGATACGATATCGATCGTGAGTACTCGGTTATTCAGTATGAGATGGACGAGTCCTCAGCAACCGCCAAATCCGGCAACGAAAGCTCAGACTGGAAAGCTCTTTTCACCAGCAAGATCAACATGAAGAGAGCCGTCATCTCAACTCTTCCTTTCACTTTCCAGAACGTTGTTGGAGTTCCCTTGATGTTCGGTTACACTACGTACTTCTTCCAATTGGCTGGAGTCAGTGATCCATTTTTGGGCAACATGGTCAAGCAGATGGTTCTTGTAGTGGGCATCATCATTTCTTTCTACACGGTTGATAAGGTCGGTCGAAGAACCCTCGTTATCGGCGGTGGTGCAGCAATGGCTACCATTTGTCTCATTGTTGGCGGGTTGGGTTTTATCAAGCAGACCAGCGCTTCGGGAATGGCCTTGGTCGCCTTGTGTTCTCTTTGGGCTTTTGTGTATGCAAACACACTTGCTCCTATTGGTATGTTGACATTTAGTCTTTGAGCCGGCGTATGACTAACTCTTTCAAGGTTGGATCAGTTTGGTCGAGATCTCGAGTCCAAGCCTGCGTGCAAAGACGACATCAATAGCAGTGACAATTCAATACGCCACTGGTATCTTATTCGTATGTCAACGCAATCTTCATTCTTTGTTCTTCTCTAACCGTGTTCCAGAACTATACTGTTCCTCTCATGCTGTCGAATCAGAATGCTGGATGGGGTCAAAAGATCGGCCTCTTCTTTGGTGGTATTACCTTGGTCTACTTGATCCCCTGCATTTTAATGTTTCCTGAAACCAAGGGTCGAACGTATCATGAATTGGATGAACTATTTGAGCGGCGTGTTTCTGCTTGGAAATTCGCATCGACAAAAACATCGCATCAGGAAGACCTTGAGGCCAAGGTCAATGGAGAAAAGGTCTAGATCACAAGCATTGGTGTATCGATGGTCAAAAGGATGGGAAGATGGTGACGAGGACACATTGATGGTGAGAAGATTATGCTTTCTGATGTATTGATTATAATTAGTATTGAGCAAGTTATTACCTGTAAATTGACCACTTACTTTCTTCTGTATTAAAGAATTGTGAAATAAAAAAGGAATACAGGGTAGTATCCTTCGTAGCTCATGGTTGACAGATAAGAAGGGAGGATAAGATAAGATAAGATGAGATGAAGGGTGGATACTACCCCTTTTTATTTTCTGAGTATTGCTACAGTCTCCCAGTCCAAAGGAGGCCCATACCTTCCCAATCCAATTTGGCACCAGCTCCTCTTCTATCTGCTAAATTTGGCTCTCGCGATCCAGCATTAATTTTGCCACTACAATGGGTTACTGCGGTATACCGAGCAAAGCGTGTGAAAACTGCAGGTAAGTTTGACTACTGCTAATTATTCCCTGTCCAAACAATGAGTATTTATAAGATTTACATAGGAAAGCACATAAAAAGGCAGGTAACATTTATAGCTTCTAATCAAGTAGATACTGACAGCACCAAGTGTGACGAAAAGCACCCACAGTGTTCGCGTTGTCTGAATCTGGGCAAGATCTGTTCTGGTTACCGAGATCAATCAAGCCTATTGTTTCGAGACGAAACGTCCAAGACAAAAGACAAGATCCGGCAGCGTAAGAGATTGAAACATGGTCGAGAAACCCATTGTTTGAAGAATGCGGATTCGTCGGTTATGGAGACATCTTCTACGAAGTACGGGGCTCCACATCCTCCATTGCTCCCCTCAAAGGAAGAGATCGCGATATGTCACTTTTATCACTCTACAGTCGAGAACCTATCGATCCATGATCCAACGCTTTCCCTCCAGGAGCAGCTACCGCGCCTCCATGCTGAATGTAGGCAGGATTCGGCTTTGAACTTGGCATTGGAGGCAGTGTCGCTTGTCGCTTCTGCGGAAATCATACCCCATGCTACCCAGCTGGGCTTGAATCGATACCTCAAAGCCGTTCGAGCCCTGAAGGAAGCAATACAGACTGAGCACCTAGGCTCAAATCACCAGGCGTTGTATGGTGTTCTGCTCCTTTGTGGCTATGAGGTCAGCATCCGAATCTTTATTGTTAACTAATGTCTGGGTCCAGAACTGACTCGTTTTAGACGATGACTGGCCATTCGTCTATGCCTTCGGCATGGGGGGCTCATGTGGATGGGGCTCTGGCTCTTTTGAAGCTTCGGGCAAATCATCTTGACTCTCCCTTCTCACGCAGTATCTATTTCTTTATTTTGAAAAACGTGGTAAGATACAGCATTTGGTTTCTTCGCACTAGAAGCCCTAGACTTACGCTGGCAGGTTATGAGTCAGATGCAAATCTGCGAACCTGTCGATGAGCTCTTCACTCAAGGGCATTACTCTTCATGTCAAGACCCAGAGATCCGCCTGCTTTCAATAGCAGCTGGCATACCACGACTTCAACACCAAAGCATCAGTCTTGCGCAACTCGGGACGACTGAGATAGAAAGAATAATCCACAATGCTAACGCGTTGGAATTTCAACTTTCCACTTGGGCAAAAGGTCTCCCACATGCTTGGTCCTACGTCACTGCACTGAATATCAATAGTGATGCACGCTCAGAATATGCTCCGCCAAGCGTCCACAGATATGCTCACTTTTATACGGCTCGCGTATGGAACTTCTACCGTGTCTCGCAGCTTATACTGCTTTCGATTCGACTCCGCGCTTTCTCTGCTTTGTCATCATCATTAGATACCCGTAAGATCGCAAAAAGAATGGCTGCATTAGTGGATGATATATGCGCAACTGTGCCTTATCTTCTGGGCAACGATCTCTGCAAGATGAACCTCCAGTTCGTCACCAACCACAGGAGGCAAGAAGACTCTTTGCTGACCTCATATTCTACTGTTAAAAGAGCCGGGAATGTACAAACTGGAAAATTCTCTCTCGTATGGCCCTTATATGTCGCCCGCAGCGCCTCGGAAGTACCTCAAGGACAGAAGGATTGGATACGCAAACAGCTTCAATGTCTTGCACAAGACGGTGTTCCTATTGCTCAAACAGTCTGCAACGCGGAGAGTCAGATACTCTTTGGAAGGCCTGAAGTATTTCGCTTTGATTGCGTATGAAGTCTTGGGCTACACTTAACGGAACGCATGATCTTAAATGTGTAGGGTTCGAAAGAATATATTCCGAGATACTGTGACTAATAGATACTATCCTCACACAGATATGCTGATGTACAATCATTTAAGAGTGTGCAACAGAAACGAACTTCTCATCCTCGAGGAGCCTCTCCATTGCTGCTGTTGATAACCCAACAACAACATCCAGACCACCATCCTTCAACCTGGGCAATATCATCATAGTGCCATCTGAGCCTTCACCTGGTATACGAACAGCGTCCAGTGTGCCAATAGCATCGCCCCATTGATGCCCATAAACGCCAAGATCAGCCCATGAAGACTCAACAACATCTGGCCCTAGAAAACCATTGAAGGACAACTTGAAGTCTGTAGGGTCAGGCCGCGATCTCAATAGCCCAATAGTTGAAGTAGCCCTTCTGGGACTGTTGAAATCGTTCAACGACCTCCGTATCGTGACTGAGGCTTGCTTCAATCCATTGTTCGATATCATGGAAGCCACGCTGATCTTCTCAGTAACGCAGCCCATGGAAGCATTACCCATATAAGAAGGTGGCAGTGGAGGGCTCATTCGGTTGCGAATATTTACTGCAAAGCAAAAGCGCGATGTTAAGTCCCCAGGGGGATCATTGAAGATCCCGGAATGCATTCGTGCCAAAGTCATGCGCTGCCATATAAAGGCACAGAGAGCATCATGTGAAGAGAATGCTCCTGCCTCTGCTTTGAGCTTCCTAAGACTCTCTGGTGAAAAGTGGAAAAGGCGGCTTGCGAGGGGAGGCATCTGGAATCCAGACATGCTTGACAGATCACCCTCCGTAGAGTGAGGAGTAGGCATCAGAACGTACTCAGGAAAGGCAGCCACGTCGGCGTTGCCAAGATCTCCTTCCATCAAGGGACTACGATCGTTAGATGGTCCATCTAATGTGGAAAAAGACCCGGAACCACCGCTAGCTACGGCAGTATTGTGCGACCAGGTGCTCAGGATAGCGTCCAAGGCCAATGCGTCACATGCTGAGTGATGAACTCCTACCGTCAGCAGAAGACCACCTTTGACAAAGTTAGCCTGAGCTGCAAAGACAGGCTGGTTGGGTCCCTGTGGCATGACGTCAATAGGGCCGACCTGAGCTGTAGTGAATTCTGCCAAGGGAAAGTTTCTCTCTTGTAATTCTGCATAAGGTGGCAGTGCATCGGTGAGATCCTTGTACCTACGCAGTGTTTTGGTCAGAAAGTGTCTGGATGAGTCTTTCAAAGAGATATCACGTACGGAAACCTGAATCCATATGGCGAGTCGAGAATCTGGACCTTTCGGGTCTTGGGATCCTGTCCTTCTTCCGGGCCCTGATCAAGACAATGACATTAGTAACTGTAACCCCAGATGGCGATTTCAATACTTACAATATGTCCAGATATCCAAGGAACGGAAGTGACAGTGTGAGCCAAGCCCTTCTTCAAGTTCTCATATCTGCATCCGTCAGTCTTCTGTCTTGCACAACGCCACATACGAGACTCACATCTGCCGCTTATCCATACCAGGATTAGTTGGAAAGCAAAGAATCAAGCGGATACCATATAACCTGGGCATATTCATGTCCAAAGGCGTAAGCTTTTGCTGTGCAGAGGGTGGCTGTAGGCCATAATGCTCCAAGGTTACAAGAGAAGGATCTTGTTCGCCCTGAACAGTAGGTGTCTCGGACTGGAAATTGAGAGTAGAAGGCATTGTGATGACAGGAAAAGATGGGAACGATGAGCGAAAGAGAGACCAACAGGTGGAAAGATAACTCCTTAAATAGATGATTTAAGATTGCTATGGTAATTGTTTGAGCCTGCCAACACAGCTGGTCTTGGAGTCTTTTGATGTTGATTGGACAGCTCAATGTATACTACATTTGGTTAGTGTGCTGATCCCCCGGCCATGTCTCTGATGTGGGCCGGGGCCAGTAGAAACCCTGGCTGTTACGGGACTACCGGATCCCATAGACATGGCTCCCCTCAAAGGTCTTGAATTACCAAAATGCCAGAGTCAGGGAGCCTCATCATGCCAGTAAGATGACTAAAACATCTGAGGAGATCCCTGTAACTTTGCTATTATATTAAGCTTTTATTTTTTCCATTTTTTAAAAGTCTTAAAACTCTAATTTACCATAGCTTTCATAATATATGATTAATAGTATTCTATAGCACTCTACTCAGATAGGTATCTTCTTGTAGCGCTGCTAGAGGATGAGGTTGCGATAGCGTCTACTCGTTTCCAGAGGTCGCCGAAATGCCCTTCTTACAGCGCTGATATGACAAAGCCACAGCGGTCAATCCACTGGACCTCGAGGCTCTTATACCCGACCCAAAGGTTCTCGCCAGATCGGAGGCCGTGGGGTCGTGGGGTCGTGAGTTTGATATCTCGACCAATAATCTTTCAGCCCTGTCTACAGATAAAGTAGCTGAGATGGCTTGGCAGGCTGGTGATATGAATACTTTTCAATCTCTCTGAGCTGAGGCTTGTTACTCTGATAAGATAAGACCAAGTGAGATCTTTGGGTTTAGTTACACTTTAGTATATTACTAGCAGATAATGTTAATGGATCTTACTGGCTGGATTGTGGATAATCAACGGAACACACGGCTCAAAGTGGCTTGATGGTAAAGTCAAAGCTTGGTCCTTATCTATTTGCCTTAAAACTCATCGATAAGAAAGATAAGCTTTGAGGCGCGATCTTTGGATATTAACTCCCCGACTCCCCTCCATTTATCTCCCTAAGAAACACTGCCAGTTAGTTTGCACGGCTGGATTTCTGGTGTGCTTCCATTGATTGACTTTGTCCTGCCCCTTCGGTCTCTCAACCCAAGATGCAGTCAGACGGCTCGGACACCAAGAATGGCTTCGCGGCCACTTCCGACTCGGAGCCGGGGCAAGTGGGCCTGGTGAGGCGACGATTCGGGTTCAACTTCAGCCTCGAGGTTCAGCAGGAAGAGAGCTCTTTTGCAACGACAAAAAATACCTCCAATGCGGATTTCGACCCGATCCCCCCTTCGAAGCGGACCTGGAACTGGGGCGCCTATGTGGCGTATTGGATGGCAGATGCGTGGGCTGTGTCGAACTGGGAAGTTGGTAAGCTTGCTGCGTCATTTGGAGTTACAGGAAGAGCGCGAATAGCTGATGTTTCACGGTGTAGCCTCATCGATGATTGCTGTTGGACTAAGTTGGCGAATGGCAATCGGAGCCTGTGTTCTTGGTAACTTTCTCATGGGTCTCGTCATTACGACCAATGGTAGAATAGGAGCTATTGTAAGTTTCTCGCTTCGTGATCGTTGCTGTTCATCGACTGACTTGTTCACAGCTGCACACCCCATTCCCGGTTCTCGCTCGCATGCCCTTTGGCTACTACTTCAGCTACTTTGTTGTGCTGTCCCGCTGTGTCCTTGCCATTGTCTGGCTTGGGTAAGTGCACTTTTGTCCTCTTAATGCTGCAAGGTTAGTGACTAAAAGATGTCTTGTAGTGTGCAAACCACGACTGGAGGTCAATGCATGACCGTTCTGCTGACTGCCATCTGGCCGAGCTTTGCCAACATCCCGAATCACATTCCAGAATCTGAGGGCATCACCACTGCAGGGATGTGTGGATTTGTGCTTTACTTCCTCCTTCAGCTTCCCTTCTTGTGCATCCCGTACACCAAAGTACTACTCTATAAGCCCTTCGTGAGCTAGACATTAGGCTGACAATTACAGATTCAATACTTCTTCGCCTTCAAGAGTATCATCGCTCCCATCATCTTCCTGGCTGTCTTTGGTGATACATTGCATAAAGCCGGCGGAACGATTAGCCACAGCACTGTGATTACGAAGGGAACTACCATTCATGGTGCCACTTTGGCATGGGCCTTCTTCAACAGTGAGCGAGACAGTCCCGATGTTATCTTGTAACCCATATCAACTGATCAATTTAGATCTCAACGGAGTCTTGGGTAACTACTCCACGCTCGGTCTCAACATCGCCGACTTTTCGAGATATGCCAACAAGCCCAGCGCTCAAAACGTGCAAGCCATCGTTATCCCCTTCATCTTCAGTACGCTTCTCCTTTCCACGCAGTCTATTCTTCAAATTGCTAATCAGTTTCATCAGCCATCGTCGGTCTCCTTGGCATTTTCACCGCAGCCGCTTCCCAATCAGCGTACGGTGAGGTTCTGTGGAACCCTATTGATATTATCAGCTTGTGGATGAAGTCTGGATCACACGGTGGTCGAGCTGCAGCTGCCTTCGGCGCTATCGGCCTGCTGATTGTGACGCTTGGTATCAACATTTCCGCCAACTCTATCAGTGCGGCGAATGATTTGATGGCCTTTGCTCCCCGGTATATTAATATCCGACGTGGCCAGATTCTCGCTGCCATAATTGGTAGTTGGGCTTTTGTTCCGGTAAGTCACTATACTCGTTTCTTTGCTGCTACAACATTGCATTCTCCAAAGTAACGGCCTTGGGCGTACTCAATGACTGACCTCATCCTACAGTGGAAAATCTTGGCCTCGGCGCAGAAGTTTATCGCCTTCCTCAATGGCTATACTATCTTCCTGGGTCCTATGACCTCTATCCTCATGACGGAGTACGTGCACCCTACCTTTTGCTCACTATAATGCTGTATAAGTATATTAAGTCCAGCCTTTCTCTAGCTACTATATCCTCCGCCGCGGCAAAGTCTCCGTTCCGGACATGTACAACTTCCACGGCATCTACCGCTACTCGCAGAAATGGGGAACCAACTGGCGCGCTGTGGTTGCCTTCTTCATTGGCTGCATCCCTCCTCTTCCTGGCTTCATCGATAACATTGTGGAAGCGGGTGGTAGCAAGACCAGCGTCTCGGCAGGAGGTCAACACCTGTATGTCCTACTTTCCATCCTATTCTTTTCTTCTATCATGATACTGCATGCTGACTGAAATCTGTTTGTAGCTTCTATATCGGTTATATCTACTCCTTCTTGTCCGGTGGCGTCTTCTACTACATTCTTAACCACTTTTTCCCAGCCCCTGAAAGTATGGTGGAATTTGCTATTACTGGAGAGGATGTTATTAGTGCTCAAGATGCCAAGAACTTAGAGATTAAGCAAGGAGGAGTTATAACTAATAAGCCTAAGTTATCTGCTTAGTTAGAATATTAAAGTATAGTAATTAATATAAATAAGATATAAGTTATAAAACGTCTTAATGAAAAAAGTAATAAATTAGGATTTAAATAACAAGGGAATAATTTAAGCTAGTTATATTTTTTATCTTTAATATAGGTTGCAGGTAGAAGATTAAGGCCATCTGAGGAGCAAGTAAGGCTCTCTAGCCTAACGTATATATAACTAATTATAATAAGATTTACTTAATAAAGATTTATGTACTAAGAGGAAATATTAAACGTTAAAAATACTTAGGTATATCCTTTAAGCCTAACTTATAAACTTGAAAAAAAAAATAGAAAACTAAAACAACCTTTATTAAATTCTGTTTATATTAATAGTATACTAATATTTAGCTAATTTGTTAAATCTATTATATATAAACCTCGGCCCAAGAATGTCAAAGTTCAATGGAGCTGCATGATAGACATTTGCCTGCCGTTTTGGGTGACCGACTAAACCAAGGTGTTCTACCAATCAGATGCTGCTGAATAACCACGCGCTGATTGGTATTCACAAGCAAAGACTGAAATGCGACAGACTTCATGCATACAGCCTCGGAGCACATTCTCAATCAGGATACTCCCAGAGGCTAAGGTATCCAGTCGGCTATCCGGCACAATTGTCTAAAATAGAGACAAAGAGAATAAGTATAAATTCCACAATGAAGGACACTAATTGCCTCAAGGGCGATTCTGTTCGCACTGGCAGGTTTGAGTTGAAGACTTCAAATTGATTCGGCAATAAGGCGACACAATCTCAAGACATGATTTCTGGGCTATTCTTATTTGCGACCGGCGCTTTAGCCAAGGTCAGCTTCCCGCCCATCCCGTCTGATCTCTCAACCCCAGTACAACAACGACTGTCGCTGGATGGGCCAAACAGTAAGTTCAACATCAAATTATCAAAAGTTTTATAGCTGAACTCTATTAGGTGTAACCATCGGCTGGAACACCTACGCCAAGCAAGCCAAGCCTTGCGTGCAATACGGCATTTCAAAAGACAAGCTTGATAAGCAAGCATGCTCTGATATATCGTTGACGTATCCCACTTCTCGTACCTGGGCCAACGCTGTGACGCTTGACAATCTGTCCCCAGCAACGAAATACTACTACAAGATTGTGTCTCAAAATTCAGTCATTGATCAATTCCTCAGCCCTCGGGCAGCTGGAGACAAAACACCATTCGCCATCAACGCCATCATTGACCTTGGTGTTTACGGAGAGGATGGTTTCACTATCAGCATGAATCAAACGAAGCGAGATGTTATCCCCAACGTTCAGCCTTCTTTGAACCACACAACCATCGGCCGTCTTGCAACAACAGCTGACGATTACGAATTTATCATTCATCCTGGAGATCTCGCATACGCTGATGATTGGTTCCTGAAACCTAAGAATCTGCTTCATGGCGAGGAGGCGTATCAAGCCATTCTTGAGACATTCTACAATCAGTTGGCCCCCATCTCTGGTCGTAAGCCTTACATGGTCAGCCCAGGAAATCATGAAGCAGCATGTGAAGAGATCCCCATCCTCAACAATCTCTGTCCTGAGGGTCAGAAGAACTTCACCGATTTCATGTACAGATTTGGCCAAGTGATGCCCCTCGCCTTTCCTTCAACCTCTTCCGACGACGCGGCGAGAGTGAGCGCAAACAAGGCTAAGCAACTGGCAAACCCGCCATTCTGGTTCTCCTTCGAATACGGTATGGCACATGTCGTCATGATTGATACCGAAACCGACTTTCCCGACGCACCAGATGCACCAGGGGGCTCAGCAAACCTGAACAGCGGACCCTTTGGTAGTCCCAATCAGCAACTCCAATTTCTGGAAGCCGATCTTGCATCAGTTGACCGTACAGTCACACCTTGGCTCATTGTTGCAGGTCACCGCCCTTGGTACACTACTGGTGATGAAGGTTGCAAGCCTTGCCAAAAGGCATTTGAAGGGTTGTTCTACAAGTATGGCGTTGACTTGGCCGTCTTTGGGCACGTACATAACTCACAGCGCTTCTACCCCATATACAACGGGACTGTTGATGCTGCGGGAATGAAAGACCCTAAGGCGCCTATGTACATTGTGTCCGGAGGTACAGGAAACATCGAGGGACTGAGTGCTGTAGGGAAGAATGCTACTGGCAATGCATTTGCGTATGCGGATGACTTTAGTTACGCCACTATTCGGTTCCAGGATGCTCAAAATCTGCAAGTCGACTTCTTCCAGTCATCGACAGGGAAACTCTTGGATCAATCCAAGCTTTTCAAGTCACACAACAAACAGTTTGTTAGACAGAACTAGAGAAATAGCTGCAATGTTGTTTCCCTTGACTCCCTTCTTTCATCTAACATTTCTATGTCAGGATCTTTTGTCTGCTGAAGTAGCTCATGATTTCCCCTCCTCCTCTATGTTGGACTTGCGGGACAGATAGTCTGAGACGATATAACGAATGAAAGTTTATGTTTCTCCAACGCTCTCACCGCAGTACATAATCATCCACTCTCACCCCTCTCTTCCTAAGGCTATCCAGCGAGAGTCTTGGATCAAAGTTGGTCCATCGATCTTCTGCAGCAATATACCAAAACGGGGTACCATTATCCCTCCAACGTAGCTCCCATTCCTTCGGGACAGGGATGTTATCCAGCCGCGGGTCTATATGCTGCCGCTTTCCTTCTGGATTCTCAAAGACAGGCTCTTCAGCTCGTTTGGCGTAGCGTAGGCGCCAACCCTTTGGCATCTCGCCAAGAATTGCTTCGCCGGCCAAGAGTGCTGGGTGAGCACACGGCCCTTTGAGTTTGTACTCGCCGTCCTCTATCGACCGAAGGACAATAGGCAGATGGCAGCCAAGAAAGACAACGACGAGGTCATCAGGCTGACAGTCCCGTGGGCCCAGCACGATGTAACCCATTTTGGTCAGATATATAGAGCGGTTGTGCATGTAGTAAGTCAAGTGTGCAAGTTGGCCACCGAGCGTCTTACTATGGGTGCTGATTCGCTCCGCCAACTGCTCGTGCATCTTGTTGATGAATGGGGGGTGGATGAAGAAGTCGTTTACATGTAACATGAGCGAAAATTGCTGAACTTTTTGGAAATCCCAAGTCTCTGAGTGGGGACCCAGAAAGCGTCGTGCTGCCTCTAGCACAGTGACTTGGAGCTGTGCTTGAGAATCTTGACTGTCCTGAGGCCCGACTAGCTCCGTAATGTAGTCGCAGCGTATACCTTGCAATCGCAATTGCTCTTTGGTGAACGCATGTGCATTCTCGGCTGAGCAAAGTGCAGCTCGACCGTAAGTCATGGGCCGCTGGTGCTGTATCCGCTCCAAGTCGGGGATCCATGTCGGCTCGGACGCTGAATCGCACAGCGACATCAACTTGAGATTTTGATGGTATGTCGACGCCCGAACCAAAGCATCGCGATGGACGTCCTTGACATCCTTTCTGTAATCAACGTCAATTTCGCTAGTAAAGCCGCCCTCTGCGAGACCCAACAGCGCGAAGACTCTATCACTCGGCTCCGTTACCTCACAGGCGTGTGTGTAAGCTACAAGAGAGAAAAAGTCCCTCAAGTGTCGAAGGGCCGAAAAGCTGCGTGCGTTGGAGAACTCAACCATGATATGGATGTCGACCTTGCCAGCCAATGCCTCCCTTTTTGCCGCAATTATCTCGATGGCGGTCCTGAAATGCAGCCAAGGCATGCTGTCGTTTCCGACCAGGATAATGGTGTCTTTACCCGCCAGTAGGATTTCTTGACGTACCCATAGTCGACGGAACCAGGACCGCGATATCAAGGATACCAAGGCCTGCCACTGGCGGTCAGAGAAGGGCATGGGCTTGGACCAGTCGTGGGAATTGTCTGGGTGTCTTCTCATAAGAAAGTCATACTTGTCTGGCTTAAATCTTATCCGGTTATCCAAGATGTCGTCCTCCTCATTGGTAAAGTCGACGCAGTCGGCGAGTTCTTGCAGCATGGCGATGGCAATGGGGCTGTGTTCGTCGGCGGGGCCGAGCCAGGCAATGACGCGCTGGGCATGCTTGTATATATCGCGCATTCGCAGGACCTGCGCGGCTCGCTCATCGAGGTCCCGTTGATTGATGCAAATTGAGTCAGCCCAGAGGATCTGGCTATTGCTTTGGTGACGGATCTTTCGCAAAGCAGAAGCAAGATTGCGACCGATGGCAAGCGACCCCGAAGACTCTTTGTTGCAAATGCATGATTTATCGTGGCCAATCGGTTTCGGATGCCGGAGATCTATATAGTCGGGATGTGACTGGTCACCCCAGGTGTACGACATTGCATCGTACCGCGTAACATGCTCGCCAGGGACATGCTTCACAACGACAAGGGCTCCCGAGAGGGCGTCTCCCTCTTGAGCTGCGTCCAGAACCAACACCCTGATCTCATTCTCCTGCAAACTGTTGTATTTGAAGTTGCCGGTAGCCATCTTGAGTCGACGCGCCTGAAGCAGAAGACACATAAGACCTAACTTCGGGCAAAGTCATGTGATTTATGTAAGATTCAAGGCTGACCCAAAGTTCTGAATGTGCCCCACAACATTTGTCCCTCTTAGTCCTGAAGATTAGCCAATTGACCCACAGGATGATTCCTTCAGCAGGGGACAACTCGTTGTAGGCTGTTCCATATCAGTGCTTCACATCCCCCTGCATTAAACCACTCAACATACAGCTATACAGCTATACACCCCGAATACGCTTACATTACAAATGAGCAAAATCCACAGGTTAACTCTGCAATCTATTAACCCGTCAGCAGTTCTAGAGCGCATTCTGGTAATTTCTCCAGGCCACGGAGAGGTTAGATGTATAATCCCAAGTCCAGGACAAGAGTGAGCTATGTGACAAAGCCCCAGCCAATCCTGCCCTCTAGATCTGGTGATTGACCAATTAATGGTAACATAGCTAGTGAGGGCGATGGAGAAGGCGTAGAAAGCCCTTCAAAGGCAGAGTGGCGGAGCCATCCTACAAACCAGCAGACCTACTTATCCAAATACAATAAAGGACCACTGCCACTTCAAAGAATAAAATAAGTCAAATTAATATAAGTGAAAAGCTGTATTTTAACTTCTTTAATTTCTTATCTCTTTATTTCCTGTCTTCCGTATCTTCACCCAGTGCGTCTACCAAGATATGCGTCATGCATTCCCTAGCATAAGTAAGCCATTATTAAGTAGACACAAGCTTACCGTATTCTGCTCGACGGAATGTTCAGTACAATGTATAGTGTATCAGGTGCATGTTATGCCGTGGCCCAACCACGCTCTACTTTGCAACACGAGCGGGCCATGTCCATGGCCTGCATTGGCGTTAGTTTATAATCACCGAAGTTCCGAAACGCCGACCCTATGCCTCTCCACGCTAGATAACGCCAAGGTTAAACTATCTGGGGTAATCGCGGGGAAAGCAGGGTTTAACCACTGGATAATGAGTTCCTGTGAATCATTGTGACATCCTCGACGCCTGATTGGACTGTCGACGGTCTGTACTAAGATACTCAGCGCAAGCACGCAGCCATCTTTATTCACGTATAAAGCAGTCTGTCCTTGCGGCAAGAGTAATAGACATACAATCCCCTTCATCAAATATCCTCCACTAGCAAACATATCCAGAAGGTGATTAACAAGCACAGCGAGCAAGAATGGCTATACAACGCACGACATCCCATGATAGCTCTGCGGAGAAGCAATATGCCACCCATATCGAAGGGGAGGCAGTAGTGGATGAGTATCTCCCTCTATTTCCCCTTCTGGTCAACAAAAGCCTCGAGGAACGTCAGAAAATCGAAAAGAAGCTCAAGCGCAAACTGGATTGGGTTTTCTTGCCGGTTGTTACGCTCATGTTGCTGATGGGATACCTCGACCGCATCAACGTGGCAAATGCTCGGCTGGCAGGTATGCAGGATGACCTACACATGTCTGACACTATGTGGTCTGCTGGAATCTCGCTGTTTTATGTTGGTTATATCATCACTCAACTTCCTGCCACTGTCTACCTCGCCAAAGGCCTGCCGCGATGGCAGATGCCAGCCTATGTCATTGCATGGTCTGTTGTCACAGCCTGTATGGCTGCCATGTCTTCAGGATGGTCTTTCTTGGTATGCCGCTTCATGGTCGGCGTGGCTGAGGGCCCTTTCCTTCCCATGGTCAGCTTGATGACCTCCTCATGGTATACAAAGGAGGAGGCCCCTTTGAGAATGGCCATCTGGCATGCTGGTAATATCGCTTCCAACATCTTCTCTGGGCTGCTTGCGGCTGGTATCTTGGAAAATATGAACGGTCTTGCCGGTATGCGTGCATGGCAGTGGTTCGTCATTATTGAGGGCAAGTTAACCCTATCACTGACCATGAAGGTATACGGCTCCCTCTAACTTTCACAGGTATCGTTGGGCTGTTCGTCGCTGCCATGGGGTTTTGGTGCATCCCCAACTTCCCTCACAACACGGGCACATACTTCATGACCCCCGAGATGGCAGAGATGGCCCAATATCGAATGATCGTCTCAGCAGGCGGGCGGTCCGAGGACGACGAAGGTGGTGCTTGGGAAGGAGTCAAGCTTGCATGCAAAGACCCATTCACCTGGATTTATACGGTGCTTCACTTTGGTCTTATTGTCGCTCTTTCATTCAAAGATTTCTTCCCATCGGTAAGTCAGGCCTACAACGTATTGCCAATCCCTAAAATATCTAACCAGTCTAGATTGTAAAAACACTAGGATACTCGAATCTTATGACCTATCTCATCCAAGCTCCACCGTATATCTTCGCTTACCTCGCCACTTGTGTAATCTCCTGGTCGTCAGGAAGACATATGGAGCATTGCTGGCATATAATTGGCAGCACAGTTGCATGCATCATCGGCGTCGTTATCATGATCTCGACCCTGAACGCAGGTGCCCGATACTTTGGCATGTTCCTTTTATGTGCGGGACCTTTTGTTGGCCTGAATGTATGTATAAAATGCCTCTAATTGGGTATGGCTTCATGCTAATGGGAGTAGATACACATTCCTTGGGAAACAACCAACGTCGCTCGCCCTCGTACAAAGCGTGGTGCTCTGGTTGCCATTACAAACTGCATCGCATCAGTCTCCCACTGGTTCACACCATACTTCTTCGTAGGTCTCTCACCCTCAGCGCCCCAGATTCCTACTTACCAGCCAAGCTTCGCTCCCAAGAACCTCGCTATCAGAATGGTGGCATTTTGATCATTGCAGGCTGTGTCATGGGCATCGCCGGTTGCCTGATTTGCAAATGGTATGTAAAAAGACTCAATAAGAAAATGGAAGAACACGAAGCGGCAAACAACCTGCCAAAGAGGTGGAGGTACGTTGAATAAGCCATTGGCTTCGAGATAGGGATAACTGGACTGTTGGAAATATTTCTTTTAGTTTTGATAAGTGGCAGTAGTCAAGTCGGCTATCATAGCTGCATAACGGGTTCAATTCAATGAATGCTATTGCTCAGACCCATGACCTGCAACCGACGACCTGCAAGCCAAGCAGATGTGTGCGCTAGGATGTCATCAAGGACAAAGCATCGGGCGGATCGTGTGATGGGCTGAGTACTCGGGCCAATCAACGGGTTTAGCATCACAATGTGGTTGCAGAAAGCAGCCGTTCGCCTTGTCTCTGATGTAAAGTCTTCCTTATCCAGCTCCTACCCTATTTCGCCACTGTAGATGTGTTAGTCAATTACAAGTAGCTGGTAGGGGATAATTTCCATCCAAGCTAGGATCCAGGCATGTCTGCAGTATTATTCAACCCCACGGAGCTGATAAGAATCGCTGGTAGTTTGGCGAAAGACCGACTGACTTCTGCCAATGTATGCGTCAAGTAAGCTGCGAGACTTACTATTATTGCATTACTAATTCCTGACAAGTCGCCGAGTCAAACATGTCTTTAGGAGGTCGGTTAAGGGTCATGGCACGCATATGGTTCTCCCTGTCCACTGTTGCCATCGAAAGGTACTTGGTTAAAAGACACGTCCGATAACCACCAGCTACTACGACTTTGCGAGTCTAGATGTGGGCACAAATCGTTCGGCGCACTTAGGAGGGTGCCATGGCCTACAAACCCCGCTTTCGCTGACTCGCGCCATCCCTTTCTGTTCTGGGATAAGCTGGTCGGCATTTCGGTCTTTCATAACCAAGATGCCAAGACTGCACGTTCAAATTTCGAGCTTCCCCGCGGTGGCTTTTCCCCGCCGGCACAATCCTCACAACGACAGCAGAGGCCGATCCAAAATGCTTGCGTGCACACTCTGTCACAATCGTAAGGTCAGTAGCTGAGTCCAGTCCGGACCTCAAACAGACTTGGTCCCCAGGCGGGCTAACTTCCTCCAGGTCCGCTGTGAAGTGGACGTCGAATCAAACACTTGCATAACATGCAAGGCTGCGGGAGTAGAGTGCATGTGGGCTTCCCTGGTCCAACTTCGCCCGGCGTAGGCTGACCTGCTGCTTCAGTCCGCGCACTAGGAAGCGTCGTCGTGGGGGAGCTGCTCCTACGGCCCAACAACTTGACAACAGTCAAAGCCACAATTACAGCAATCAACAAAGCCAGCGCGTTTCGCAGTCATCTGGGGCAGGCATAGTAATGCCGATGGAACATGCCTCATATCAGACCCCGTCTACGGTAAGTCACGCATGCTTTTGCCATCTGCCATGCCTTGGTCAAAATTACTCTTGCGTTGCATCAAAGCTTCACATCAGATTGGCCTTCGAGTATGGATGACAACCCCAGATATCTATGCTGTAGCATGCCCAACGCACAAGTGTTGGCCTGGCTCTGTTCTGTGACCTGTGTGAACCTCCCAAATAGCGTTATGCTACTATTATTCGTTATTTCTCACCATCTCTTTCCTAAGTATTCTTGGTCTGAATTCAATGCTGACATGCAACTGCAAGAGCCAATCGACCACCTATATAGGTAGAGGCCACTACGTCACAGACGACGATGAGATAGATGAGACGAGTGCTCGTGCCTTCGCGCCAGCAAAGATAAAGATAGGCCCTCATGCAAGCACTCAAAGGGAAACATTAGTTCTGTGGAAAGCTTTAGACATACCGCCTCTTGCAGCGCGTCAAAGCCTGCTGAGTGCGTTCCTAGACTATTGCAACTTATGGACGCCTGTTCTGGAACCAAAAGATATTCACGAGCTTTCGCATTTCGACCAAAAAACTACTTCATTGCTACTGGCTCAATCTTTATGGCTGGCCGGCAGTCGAGTCACAAATTCACCTTCTGTGGTTGCCTTTGCATCTTCGGACGACTTTTATCACAGAGCCAAAGCAGTCTTCTGGTCTGGAGTAGAGACGGACGGGCTGTCCGCCATCAAGGCCTCACTGATGCTTCAATGGTACAATCCACAGGCTCCTGAGCATATTTCATTTGACAATAGTGGCTTTTGGCTCAAGATTGGGGTCGGAATCGCCCATCAGATTGGCCTGCATAGAGAATCCCCTCCAGGGTCGTCTAGGGCAATACGACGGAGGCTGTGGTGGAGTTTGGTGGTAAGCTGAAGCGCGTGTACCCAAGTTGGTTCGTGTTGACTGAGAATTACACAGGTTCGAGACTCACTCATCTCCGTCGCGCATGGCAGACCGCGAGTCATTAATCTCGATGACAGTGATGTGCAGCCTCCGATACCGAGCGACTTCCCAGACTCGCAGTTCGCGTTCCAGCTATTCTCGGCCTGGGTGGACATATGCCAAGTACTTGGAGACATATCATCTTGCTGCATAAGACGACACATGTCACGAACAAAAAGGCTCTACATTGAGAGCTCATTGTACCGCTGGGCAACGAGTCTCCCTCAAGAGCTCCAAGTTGCACCCAGCAACCAGCCAACGCACAGCTATCTTGCAAACAGTCACAACCTACCGGCACGTCAGCTGTATCTACCATACTTCACTAGCTTAATAGTGCTTTCCCGTATGCAGCCTGCGCACTCGGGAGGGTCGGTGACTGCGACGTTGGCTGCATCGTTCGTCGCCCGCATTTTTGAGGATTTCCTGGCCAGAGACGAGATCAAAGTCTTAGCACCGATCAGCACTCGGTACTGCCTCATTTCGAGCATGGCGCTGGTCTCGGTCATGCCCAATAAGCGACTGTGGGATGCTGTACAGCCGGATCTGGAGATACTCCAGCTTGCACTCACTGAACTTTCAAAGCGTTGGCGGTCAGCAATTGGGGCTTCCAGAGCTCTCCAAAATGCCATTAACAAGAGGCGACAACGTACCAGCAGCTCTACCGCCGAATTACGAATGGACGACAAAGGTTCCCTGGAGTACTTCAAGATGATAGACCTTGGCTATTGCCGCATATGGAGCACTCTTAGCCAGCAGATGTCCTCCAGCCCGCTGGCTACCCAAGATCAAATTCCAGAGCCTATACAACCCCCCGGCAACGACGCGTTAGCGACCGATCCATTCATGGATCCAGGGGCGGCGCTGGATATGGGGACATTTCAATTCGAACATGTGGAGAATTGGATTCTCAACGATGGCTTTTTATTCGAACCGTAGATTACATTACTTGACACTTGCACTGGACCACAGCCACAGGCTCACAGCTTGTGCTTCTTCTGCCCCTTCCTCAGTTTCTCGAACTCCTTCTGTGGAATTCCTTGGACGTTTCTCTCGAGAGCTCCAAACACTTCATCAACATTCTGAGCGTCCAGTTCCCGTCTTGATCGATGTCTAATCATCTTCTTGATCTGCAACATGCTTGACGCATTCAGACCATCATGGAACCTGTCCTTGACCTCCCTAAGCACCTCACCCCGAAATGACTCGGCGGGGCAATTAAAAATTTGGTTCACGAAACCTGCCTCAAGTAATTCCTTGCTGGAGATGCGCTTCGCTAGAATCAGGGCTTCGTTTGCTTTGGAGATTCCCATGCGTTCTGCGAAAGCTATCGACGAGACGCCTTCGCTTATGAGGCCCAAGCTAGCGAACGGCGTCAATAGATATGTTTCCCGCATACAATAGATAAAGTCGGCGAAGGCTATCAGCGCAGCAGCCATACCAACCACAGGACCGTTAAGGGCTACTACCAAGATCTTGGGATGTGTATAGAAGGCTCGCGCAAGATTCATGTTGCTGGCTACCGTGACGGTCAAGTTATGCCGATACAAGTCTGTACCCTCGGGCATCTGCCTCGAGACCGACACGTCGGCACCGCTGCACGCATATGTCAGTGTCAGTACCAGTAGATAAGATAGGTATAGAAGTTTCTCACGCTGAAAAGAATCTCCCGTTGCCTGTCAACACAGTCGCTACCACTTCATCATGATTGGCAACCTCCTGAAGTGTGCGCGCCAGCTGATAGAACTCGTCTTTGGTCAAAGCGTTCAACTTGTTGGGTTTGTTGAGCACTACGACGGCAATGGGGCCACTGTACTCAACCTCGATCACTGCCATTCTTACGATTATGTGTTCTGTCAACGCAACAATCCGAATCACGACTGAGATAGATGCGAGTGTTGTGTTATGTCGCGAGCTGACTTTGTGGCAAGCTGTTAAATGGAACTGAACACCACGAGGCCATCCATTTGTCCGGCCCTTCACTTGAACGAGTCGCCGACGGACAGTCCATAAGAAAGAAGTCCGCCAGACAACTCATCATAAACCATCTCATCACCGAGACACCGCTTGAAGACTCCACTCGGAGTTTCGGCCATAGCCCCGCATGATCGGCACGTCTAAACGCCGGGTCTGGGAAACAAACGTGGGTGAGTGAGGCAGGCAGATGCTACATATCACACACGGAAAGCGCATCTAATAAGGTTCGATGTTAAGAACAAACATGTCTGTGTTGGTCTTCCCTCGTACCAAAGATAACGATTGATCATCTCAGCATGGCTTTACCTCCCAGCACTGCAAACTTGGACCGTACGCAGATCGTGCCGTCGCACGATGGTCCACATGTATTGCCCAACAATCCCTTGTTCACCAGGCTACTGCGGCACGCGCATCGCAACCGCCTTGCCATCATAGATCAGGTGCTTAGCGTCTCCAAAACATACGGGGAGCTGCTCGATGCGGTTCTAGGGTTCAGGGAGGTCATACGAGCAGCGTTGCCTTCCGAGGTGCAGCACCAGCTGAGCGGCGGTTATGAGGTGTATTTTGGAGTACTGGCTGGGGGCGGCTATGAGTTTACCGTCGCCGTGTTGGCGGTGCTGGCCTTAGGGGGAGCAGTGGTACCTATGTGTATGTATATTCCACTATGTCATGTCATTCATTGACTGAGGAATGACTGACTGATCGCATCTATCAAGTCCCCACGGCGCCCACAGAAGAGATTGTCTACTACGCCACCAAGTCACAGCAGGTGGCCATCCTGTCCAGCTCAGCGACGACCCAACTTGCGCAGCAGTCGGCGCAGCGCTGTGGCATTCCGCAGCTCAGCATTTTACCCAACCTACCTCGCACGACCCGCTTAAAGCCATTTGACATATCATTGTCATCCAACTCGCCACAAGACCCCAGCGCACCCGGCGTGGTCATCTTCACTTCTGGCACAACCGGCAAGCCCAAGGGCGTAGTGCTGCGACGGACCTATACACACGAGGGCGCTATCACCGTCGGCGACAGCTACGGCATCACACACACAGACGTACTTCTACACACGCTGCCCGTCCACCACACCACCGGTCTAGGTACTTCGTTTTTCCCTTTTCTCAACGCAGGAGCCTGCATTGAGTTCCATGGCAAGTTCGACGCCGCCACCGTGCTCAAGCGCTGGCTGCAGGGTGGCCTGACTATCTTCTCTGCTGTGCCCACTATCTACATGCGCCTGAAGTGGTTCATCGAGCAGCTCCCAACGCACGAGCAGATCCCTTATAAGCAGTCAGCTGGCCAGTTCCGTGCGTTCCTGTGTGGATCTAGCGCTCTGCAAGAGCACGTACAGGACTTCTGGACCGCTTCAATGGGCCAACCCATCCTCACCCGCTACGGCGCTACCGAAATTCCTGGCTGTATACGTGTGTCTCTTGAGCTTCAGAATCTTCCCAAGGGAAGCGTGGGCCAGCCTCTGCCAGGAGTAGAGCTTAGGATGTCGCCTGAGGGTGAGTTGTTGGTTAAGACGCCCAACATGTTTGCCAAGTAGGTATTCTGTCTGTCTCGCGAGTCTCGTGCTGTCTCATCAATGTACTTATGGCTGACGAACAACAAAGGTACCTCATGGAACCGGAGACAACGAAGAATGCGCTTGATGCCGATGGCTGGTACAAGACCGGTGACATCGCACGACGTGAGGGGAACTTCTACTTCATCGAGGGCCGCGCGTCAGTCGATATTATCAAGTCTGGTGGTTATAAAATCTCGGCGCTGGACGTTGAGCGCGCGTGCCTGACGCTGCCATACGTGAACGAGGCCATGGTAGTGGGCGTCGAGGACGACGAGTTTGGGCAGCGTGTTGGCGCGGTGCTGGCGGTGAAGAATGCGTCGGATGTCACCCTCGCCACAGTCAGGAGTACTCTTAGGGATCAGCTGGCCGGGTATAAGCTCCCCACCGTGCTCAGGGTGGTGGAAGGGGAGATCCCGAAGGGTGCCACAGGCAAGGTGCAGAAGAAGATCCTGGGACCGAAGCTCATTCCAAGTCCCGGATACGAGGAGATACCTCAAGTGCAGGTATGGAAGAAACTGAAGCAGGCGAGGCCGCTGCAGGCAAGACTGTAAATTGTGATAGCATCCAGCGCGGTGTCGGAGTCGGCTCTATGTGGTATTTCCAGGACTCTATCAGACTATTGAGTGTATATCAAGACAACAAGTACCGAAATTAGATAAATTTACAGTTCATGAGAGGAACTAGTGCTGTTAATGCTTTTGTAACATATGTCCTTTATTCTACTAAAAGGCATAATGAAAATTCATATAACTCTCAGTCTGATATTATAGTTACTGGGTGGAAGATATAAATAAATATAGATTCACACTACAAGAATTTATAGCAGTTATTTCTCTTTTCTCCTCATTGGCTGGTATAGGGTGAATAAAACATCTAGCCATAAATCTTTACACAAATCTCAGAGATATATGGTTATATATTATTTCTTATTGCATATTACATGGTTTATGAGAACCGCTGTTATAGAAGATGCTTTGAAATAGCACGCATAGTAATATAATAATATCATATCACTGTCATAGAGCAGAACTCTCATTTCGGCAACTCGGCGAAAACCCGAACCTCGCCACTAGCCTAACCTGATTCTTCCCTTACAGGAAGCCCTCGGCGAATTGTGGGGTATCATTTTTTATCCAACGTCGACGTTTTGGAGTCATGTGCCCCAGATTTCCTATTCCGATCTCTGTATGTAGGGTTTTAGTAGCGTTTTAACAAGTATGTAAATTACATCCCAGATATCGATTGTCTTGGGCAATAATATTCTTATGTGACTCCTTATTAGCTAAATCTGACTGGATAATCTCTAAGAATGAAAGTCCCGTCCACGGCGTCATCCCGTGGCGACTCGCCGAGCGCCCGGTTAGGGACCCCGCACCCCATCCTCATCTGGAGCTAGGCTCGCTCTTCGGCCAATCAGCCGGTATTGCGGATTGGTGGCTGGCATGAATCTCCACATCCAAGATCTCTGTTAATGTTGACTTATTGCAATTAGTGAAACATGATGAAAGACAGCATACAAGTCATCCCTGCTGTTGGGACTAGACCTGGGCCACCTAGACTGTAGGCCTACGAGGTGACAGAAATCTGGTTAAACTTAATGGCATAACTTTGCTTAGTGCGCCAGTGGTGGTCAGCCACGAGGTCAAATAGAGTAGCACCTAGGATATTCCTTACAAAACCAGAGCACTGGCCAAGGTATCTTAAAACCCTTCTTCAGTAAAAGTCTATATACACAAACGCAAACATCAGTAGCACTATTACAGATCTTCCTGTATAGCCAGCATGGCCACTACGACTTCGTTTACGGTCACTAAAGGACCCATTACTATTGAGACTCTCGACCAAGGTACTGGTCCTGTCATCGTCATTCTTCCCTCGCTGGCCCGTGGAGCAAACGACTACGACGTTGTCGCCCCGTTCCTTGTCGAAGCTGGCTACCGCGTTATCCGCCCCCAGCCCCGCGGCATTGGCAGGAGCAATGGAGCTATGGACAAGCTGACCATGCACGACTTCGCCGCAGATGTGGCCATGGTCCTAGACCATATCGAGTGCGGTCCGTCCGTCATCGTTGGCCACGCATGGGGTAGCCAGCCGGCGCGCATGCTGGCCGCCGACCGTCCAGACCTCGTCCGTGGCGTCGTCATGGCAGCCGCCTCGGCAGGCAAGCTCCCCCCCGGCTCGACCGAGAAGCCCTTCAGCCGGCTGCGCACTGAGATTGACGGGTCCGGCGATATGTCCCTCCCCGAGTCCAAGCGCCTCGAGTACCTTCAAGCGGCCTTCTTCGGACCCGACGGTAACCCACGTCTGTGGCTGGACGGGTGGAACGAAGCCGCGCATAAGGCTCAGGCGCGTGCGCGTATGTGCACGCCCGTCGACAAGTACTTTTCTGCTGGAGAGACTGTTCCCATCTTGGATCTACAGGCTGAGCACGACGCCGTTGTCGTGAAGGATGTGATGAAGCCGTGTCTGGGTGATCGTGTTGAGGTGCAGGTTATCAAGGGTGCTGGCCATGCTATGGCGCCAGAGCAACCAGAGGCTATGGCCAACGCCATTATCAATTTCGTTAAAAATATCTAAGAGAAATACATATGGCGTTTTGTTTCCTTGTGGCTCTTTACCATTCCCCTGATGACATTCAAAGCCAAGATCGTGTAATCTACAAAGTTGGGCAAAGCATGAATATGTAGCCTTCTTTATCACTATAAGTCAAATATTCGACGACATTGGGCACAGCTACCGGCAGAAACATGGAGCTGGAACCGCAATTGAGAAGTTGCAAAGCGCTCTCTACCTGTGCATTAATGAGCTTCCAGATGAGCTTCGTCTCTTTCACTCCAAGCCTTCTCTCGGTCCGAACGTATACAACTTTGAAGCCAGATAGCTACACGTCATGTTCTCGGTGAGCATCCTGTTATTCCAGCAGCAGTACAGCAATGGTTATCCGTCGACCAAGGGCATGCCATTCGACATCTCTGTCATAGGGGGCCGAGACTCTGACGTGTTCAACATGTCTTGTCATGGAGGTTCGGCAAATCGATGCGGCGTTTCACCTACTGGTGGGGGGTTTTTTTTCTTTCGCCGAGGACACACTAGGATGGCACGCGCCGTAACTAACGCCGAGACCCATTAAATCTGCGGTCCTGGGGAAGAGCTCCACCGTGCATCATCTAACAGCCGAGTGATCAATTAAACGTCAGGGTCTGAATCATCAGCAGCATCTGGGCTTCAGCATCATCTGTTTTTGCATGTGCCAGCAATCATGTACGAAAACCTTGGGCTCGAGCGTCGCGGAGATGTCTTTATCCTTACTCTGCAGAAACCACCAGAGAACCGTCTCACATCGCAATTCTGTCAAGAGATTATTCGGGCTTTAAATGATGTTCGGAGGGAACTAGGTCCCGACGCACCTGGCGCTGTCATCATTCGAGGCAACGATGCCAAGTTCTTCTGCACGGTACGTTCTTCCCCAGACAAATTATCCAGGATGCCTTGAACAGTTCGTAATTACTTACATATGCACAGGGTCTGGATCTCTATGAACGAGACACAAACCCATACGCCAGCTCCGAGGGATTCTATCCGGTAAGCACCTGATCTGGCCGTCCGCGGTGAACTTGGTAAGTACTTCACTAACATATGCATTCTTCGGCTGTAACAGCTTGTTGCAACTCTCCTAGACTTCCCGTTCCCCACCATCTGTCTCATCACCGGACACACTTTTGGAGGTGCCTCAGTGATGACACTGGCCCACGACTATCGTATCATGAATTCTACCCGTGGGTACTGGTGCATGCCCGTAGCAGAGCTCGGCCTGCATTTCGATGGAATGGGTGCCCTTCTGAGAGCCAAGCTGCCACCACAAACAGCCAGGAAGGTCATCCTGCAGGGTCATAAGTTTACATCAAGTGAGGCATTGGCGGATGGTATCGTGGATGAGATCGCCTCGCCGGAAGAGATGCTGGACCGTGCCTTGCAGCTTGCCGACAGGGTCAAGTCCAAGGCAAAGATGGGGGTCTACGGATTGCTCAGGGGAGAGCTATACGGTGAGGCGCTGAGGGCGTTCCAGCAAATTAGCTATGTTCATTCTCGACTCAATTCCCGCCAGGCAAAGGTTAAGCTATAAACATAATAATAAAATGGATCAACGATTCCGCTTTTGTTCTAATCAACACAAAGGTCATCCGTATCGACCATACAGGACCCCGCATCCGGTGAGTTGCAGGTCTAATTGGGGCTACATACCCTGTAGAGAAGGTAAGATGGCAACTTCCATGCATCAACCAACTTGACTGCGTGATGACGTATCTCATTCATCAAGCTTCAAACGGCAGTGTCAGATATGTGGTCAAGACCCTGGTTGCTCAAAGCGCCGGACTGAGTAAATTGGCGATTTCCCTTGTTCATTGTGCGATGAGCGAAAAGTCGGAAGAAGAGTCCAATACTCTGATGTGAATTCCGAAATACTTGTTTCTCTTAGTAGTCCATGGTAGAAATTGTACACCAGGACAGACTCAGAGTAAGCTTGCAATGAGGAATATTAGCTTTTTGGTAGTCAACATCCATGGAAGAATTTGTCGGAAGCTTACCGTTACTCAAATGATGAAGTTGAATCACGATACTATCCCATGCGGCCTTCCTGTTCTCAATCATGTCGTACAACTTAAAGTCTAGTTGCTTTTGTTAGAAGTTACCCTCCCTCCAAGATCGAGGAACAACAGCAAGTTAACGTACCAGGGAGGCAGCGCGATGCTTGAACGCTTCCACAATGTCCGAATCGTTAGTGAAAACGTCCAAGGCTCTGTCTTCCTTCCCGCCACTTTGGCGCTGCCAGAACCTGAACTATGTCTCCTCGGTGTGATTCTGTGGGTCATGTCCGGGACTTGCTGCGACAAGCTTGGCTTTTCGGATCAGCTACTTGCCTGTTTCACGTGCGATCATCCAGTTATCACCCTCGACCGTAGGCTTTGCCAAGTCATCCGTGTTCAAGCCAACCAGCCCGCTACCGACGCCGGATCTCTGCCCACCCATGAATTGTCGACAGATCTCCATGCCACCTTCTATAAGCTCCGTAGACAGTTATTTGGGAGTAGTAGAACGTGAGCGCAGATCGGTGATGGCTGTGAGATCTCCATTGTTCTCTACGTCGGAAAGGGTCCGGTTATGATATCGCCCATGCGCTTGACGCCATAATGCAGCAAATACATTGTGGCGAGGAGAGGCAACAGACTGATCTGAGTGGTAGGATATTCCAGTACTGCTGACACTTCTTGGCCTGGTGTGTCTGATCTGAACAGTCGGCGGACTGCAGAGTATCGCAATGCCACAACTGTGGCACAGACGAGAACGATACTCACATGCATCGCGATCCTTTTGCGAGCCTGTTACGAGCATGTAATTATTCACACCCGTGATGGAGAGAAATCGGGTCTCACATGGGTAAGAGAGTCATAGATGACAGCTCGATTCTGAGAAAATCGATAAGCTCCTGTTGCTGGATCTGCCGACGATTATCGGGCTAGAAGTGCACTATACAGAACGCTACATAGACAAGAATTAGCTCTTCTTCGAACAGGAGGAGCTGATACCGAGCAGGGTATCGGATTGAACGAATGTTATCCATAAGCATGTAAGCAATATCCATGGTAGAGTGGCCGTGTTTAGGTCCAATGTCACCTACGACATTACCATTAAGAGGTTGATATGGTTTTATATTATAAACTTGAATGATGTATGAATTAGGACTAAAAGATGAGTATATACTCTTTCTAATATATTTTAATAACTGTATTATAATTGACTTCCTAGTGCATTATAATATGATATTCCTTAGATTTAAGTGTATATTATAATATAGAGCCCGTCGCCAAGGCCTAGGTCTGTATAATATAGCCAAAGTAATAATCAGAACGCTAAATTTACTGTAGGATCTCGCACCTCCAGGAATCGACGAGATATGCCAAGCATTGTTATAAGAATTGGACTGGTAGAAGGGGTTACACTTGTGATTCTTCGTCTGATACTATTGGACTATTGTATGGACTCTTCCTCCTCCCTTACATATTCCTGCCTCCAGTTACAGAGATGACCTGGCCTGTGACGTAGGAGAAAAGGGGACTGCACACAGCCAAGATAACCTTGGCGGCGTCTTGTGCCGAACCTGGCCTGCGAAGCGGGATGTCCTCGAAGGAGGATTTGCTATCGCGGCCGGGAACGCCGAGCTGGATCTTTTCCCCGTCCGGTCCTGTAATAAAGGTCCCTGCTTCTTTCGCTTGCGTTAGGCGCGTCTCAATATACCCAAATGCCACTGTGTTAGCTCGGACATTGAACGCCGGTCCCCATTCCTTTGCAACCGTCTTCATTAGTCCAGACACACCAGCTTTAAAGAAGGCGTAATTAGATTGACCGACGTTTCCGTGAAGACCTGAAGTTGAAGATATGCCGATGATGTTTCGCTGCTTTCCATCCTTGACGCGGAAGTAAGGGGCTGCGGCGCGAATTAGCTGAAAAGGAGCAGTGCCGTGGATATTCGCCATCGCAGCCCATTGCTTATCAGTCATCTTATGCACTACACCATCCCATGTGTAACCAGCATTATTGACGATAATATGGATCTCTCCTCCTCCAAACTCGGCCGCGCGCTTCACGAGCTGGTTGATGTAGTCTGGATCTGTTATATCACCAGAGACTGCTAGTGCCTGGCCTCCAGAGCTAGTGATCCCATTCACCAAGCTTTTTGCTTTGTCTGTATTGCGGTATCAGGAAGTGTTAGCCTAATTCTATCCTAGGTCTAGCCGTACCCTCTACTCCAGAGGGCTTGGCAGCCGACAGTTACCTGAATCAACGTCGCAAACAACCACTTTGGCACCCTCCTGAGCGAACAGGCGCGCTGCTTCAGCACCAATGCCCTGTCCACTTCCCGTGATTATTGCAGTTTGTCCCGCCAGAAGACCTCTTGGGTAAGTGATATGAGACGCAATTTGAGCGACACGTTCAGCCATGATTGCTTAAGTTGGGCGTGAATAGCTAAAATATAGCTCAGTTTCTTACCCGCCACGAGGCCAAGCAATTGTTCTCGACTTAGCATCATAGGATCGACTATTTAAAACCTCCGTTGTGGGTGTCGATGCCGAGATTCAATTAGCTTCCGTCCCACTTGCTAATTGCCAAGCCTCATTCGGCGTTGTAGAGCTCCAGTCGGCGTTACAGCCACTTTCGGCGTTATAGAGCCACCTTTGGTGTTACCGAAGATGGCCCAGAAGGAAACTCACAAAGTACGCGTAGTATCTCATTAAAGCCGTCGTTTAGTCTATATGGAGGTCTGAACGGTAATGGATTGGCCTGCATTGTACTCATGATGCCATTCTAGTAATATCGGTTGACCATCAACCGAGCACAGCTCGCTTTGTCCTCCCCTGCCTAGTCCAAGCCGAGGCCCAAGCTTTGAAGATGCCGACGATGACTGAGGAACACCAAGGAACATTCGCCAAGCCGAAGCCGAAGCGGCAAGAGACTCGAAAAAGGTCACCCAAGTAAGTAGTCTAGTATGCAGAAGAGAACATGAACCTGTATTGTTATTAAGACTCGGCTAACAAGCTGGCTGTGCTTCCACTCCACCACAGGGCATGCCTATCCTGCCGAGCACGAAAGGTCCGCTGTGATGTGACATTCATGCCTAGTGCCTGCACAAACTGTGTACTTGACAGTAAACAATGCGTTGTCAGTCGGCGGCGCCGTCACAACGACAGGTACGGGTAACCCATGGATCCCTGATCTGGGAGATTCAGATCTCGTATGCCTCCCAAAACTAATATGCATATATTAGAAATCACAACAAGAAGCCCGACGTGTCAGAGGTAGAGACTATGGCCAAGCCTCTGCCAGCCCCCAAGGAAGACAAAGACTTGCTTATAGTCTTGACTGACGAGTACTTGGGGACGCCAAAACTGGCAGAAGCAATAACTCGTCAAAGTCCGAGTCACAACCATAGCCAAGCTCGGCCTGAGATCACATTCGCGTATTATCCTTTCCTCTGCATCAACAATCTTAGCTCTTTGCATACGGATGACATCAATTATCTGGACTCTCAAGGTTGTTTTAAGTTACCAGAAAGTAGCTGCTTGGACCATCTGGTCCGGGCGTTCTTTCATCATGCTCATCCGATCTTGCCTGTTGTCAATGAAGCCGAGTTCTGGTCGATTTATGATCCATTGACCTCTGGCGGCAAGACCAGTCGAGTCCCTGTTATATTACTTTCAGCAATGCTGTTCGTGGCGTGCGAGGTAAGCCCACAATTGATCACGGGAAGGCTCTTCACTAATTGCGCCTTACAGTACGTGGATGGTGATGTCCTTCAAAGCATGCAGCATAGTACCGCACATGAGGCGCGTGACAGCTTCCTTCGGAAGACCCAGGTGAGTTCAACACTCGGCGTCGCTCAGGCTTCATTTTATATGCTAACTTCTGCTTTTAGCTTCTCTACGACCAAGAGACTGAGTCATCACCAGTCGTCCTTGCCCAAGTATCTCTTTTGCTTGCACACTGGACCTCACAAAAAAACTCAAGAACTAATAGACCGAGCACTCAATGGCTTGGTCGGGCAATTCATCATTCTCAGGATGCTATTTACCAGGCCAAGCTTTCGACATCAGTCAAAAGTCACTTCAGCCAGGGCAACCTTAGGCGACTGTGGGGATGTTGCATCCTCAGCGACTGTATTCACAGCTTGTACACCCGTCGGCCGCTCATGATGCCTCCCGGTATGGTTGAAGCAGAAAGAGATTGCCTTGTGCTCTCTCGAGCCGATTTGTCACATGAGATAGGACGGTCTCGAGTCTATGGTGTCGAAGCAAAGCAGCGATTTATTGAAGCCCAGGAACAGATGTCCGCTCTCATCAGCATCTTGAGAAGAGTTCTGGCTCTGGTCTACCCGCAAGGAGGCATGGCCACTTGTAGAACTGCGTCGACGCTCGGAGGAGAGGGATACGAGTCTCGTGATTGCAAGAACCACCTGAAAACATGGTATAATGACAGTTTGATACTCCTCATGTCCGGACGTGACTCCGCGTTGGGCTCGCCTGTTAGCCTCGACGATGGAACAGAACATAGGGGCTCACAACGTGACCCTATAGAGCTCCTAGTAAGCATGATGCACCTCCATTACGAGTAAGTAACTACCTAGATAAGGTCAAGTCAGGCCTTTGATACGGCTTATGGTAACTAAAGTGTGGCAATAGGACTGCCATGTTGGTGCTCTGTCAAAGCGAACTGTTGCACCTCACTGCGAATACTCGTGCAACATACTCATCCTACATGCTGCACGAGCAGGCTTCTTTCCGTAATCAAAAAGACGATCTTGCAAATTGTATCCTCAACTTGACGGATCGGCTTTCAGAATCATTGCGGCAGCAACACCTATCCAGGGTTCCACCTATCATGTAAGCGGGTCGCAACTCATTCACGACCGCAATTAATGAGCAAAGCTAATAAATCTACTCACAGGATATTCTGTACAGCACTTCCACTTTTTATGCATCTCCTAAACACCAAAGGCCCTCTACACAATGGTCCATCCTCCCCCAACGTGTCTTCGCCATCGTTAAGCCTGCAAGACGTTGGGGTACAATGTTCCCGTAACCCAAATTGGGCGCGAGAGATTATAAAGTGTTTAGTACTGCACTTTAGAGATGAGCTTGAGTACATACTACAAGCTGTTAAAGCGGTAAATAACAGCCTTACTGAAGGTCTCCAAGAAAGCCAAGAGTCACCAATTCTCTTTGCTCAGGAAGAAGAAATGCAAATCGGCAACTGGCGCGAACTGTTAGACAAAAGACCGAGACTCTATATTCGCCTCATCAAAAGGCTCGACAATGTCATCTCCTGGGGGGGACCTTTGCCCGAAACAGACATGGTCGCCCCGTTCAATGAATACCAAATACCGCCTGGCTCTAGCATGACTCGACAATTCCAAGCTGAGAAGCCGTCGCTGAAATGGACCCCACCGGTGTCTTCAGCTTCAGCTCGACAAAACATTAAACAAAGGACACCGTCTATGTCGTACGGGGATGAGCCAGCAGCACAGCTGGAAGTTGGCGAAACTGATTCGGGCTGCCTGCACCCAGAAGGCCTACGTGAAAGCTTCAGCGATATTTTAATGCAGAAGCTCGACCTTCCCCAATCCTGCCTCGATGAGGCACCTGGTGAAGCATACTCACCGACGTCATTGGATCCTTCTCGGAGAATTTGGGCAGAAAAGATCGCCGGCAGTGACAGACGTGTCCTAGACCAGGTTGCTTCCCGCGAAGAAATTAAACCCACAGCGATTGACTTCACTGATGCAGATGATATGATATTAGTAGATGGACTAAGTGATGAGTGGATAGATGCATTATTGCAGAGTGATAGCGCTGGCTAAAGTGCAAAAGATGTAGATATAGATATTGCTATAACCACTGTAAAGGGCATAATTTAACCCCTTGTTAAGTATTAGCTCCGGGGAGTTGTTTACTGTTTTCCCTAGCAAGGGACTTTTTCACTAAAAGGGAAAGATATAGTTTTGCAGCGTATAAGTATATATGCATAAAACAACAGTAATTGGGTTATAGCAATTCCTATACGATAAGCAAACATCCTTGCTGGGGCTTTGTGTATAATGCGCTTAGTGGGCTAATTGCAAAGTCAAGTTATCTATCCAGCATATAAAGCGGAACCCTCTTGTGCTCTGGGGTTATTTATGTCCTTTTTCTGCATTTTATATTGCTAAGAATAAGAACCTGCAATTTTTATAATACTATAGGCATACTGAATACGACGGAAGATATTAATTACTCAATCTCCCTAACCTATATAATATGGATAGTAATAATTCTTATAACTATTTACTTATTTATAATAAACTTATAATACTTAGGGTTTTTAAATAGGTAAACTACAACGCTCTTAATAATTTAGCTTACCTTTCAATTCTCATCAAAGTTATCATGAACATGAAAGGATATCTTATTTATTGGAAGCAGCCTTCGCGTCTGGTTAGTTGATAAATGTTCGTAGCTTATATTCAATTTTCCACAATGATCGATTCGACGGACACTGAAATATCGCCGTCATTTTATTGGCTCGGCTGCTGCAACTGGTCTCCACGCATGGCTGGCCTCATTCTTCTTTCGACTGATCAATCCACCTTATTGATTCATCGAAATGAAAATGATGTGCTGTGAAAAGCGGGGTTGAATACATACAAAAACAGAGTGACAGAAAAGTCTGGCTTACCACCCTTTTCAAGTGTTTAATCATTTGATACAAGTGACACACGATCGCGTGGAGGGCGCTTGAGTATAGCCAAATTGCCTCCTCACGACCTATCTGGCTCCGATAATCCAAGTCCTGTACAAAGGAGATATCTTTATACTTTAGTTTTATGTCAACCTCACTCACTAATAGGCACTTGCTGCCAGCTGCTCGCACTCTCCGCCTCAATAATGTCCTCAAGGAACAATGAGAAAAGCGAGGCGGCTACTAACCTTGTCAATTCCCCCAAGCCTCAGAAATTGAACTCGAAGTCCATCCTATCTTCAAGTCCTGCACATTCGCCGGACCAAACCCTGGGAGTGTCTAGAGACGAAACTCGTCCGGCTGGAGCCGTCTCATTTCCTCTCAGCCCTCCAACAACCCCTCCTCGACAATCGTCAGCATTGACGGCCCATGAGAAGCAGCCGACAGAGGCAAGGTTCAACGCTACGACGCTGAGAACTAGTCTGGGTCTCGACAATAAGCTATGCGGGGCTCCTACGAAATCAAATAGACCTTGTAGAAAGTGGACACCGGTAGCGAACAGAGCCGATGTCACTTCTCAGCTTGAATCGATCATCGCTCTCACGCAATCATCTACGGAACTCGAAGTTACGCTAGATAAGCTTGCCAAGCTTGTCCATTGCAAACACCATACTAGTGGTCTTCCGAAAAAGGAGCGAATCGAAGCCTGGATTAAGATATTTCCCATCGGAGAAGCAATCATTACCGACCCTGCCACATTGGTTGAAAAGGGAATTCGAAAAGCCCTGGGTCTAAAGTCTGCCCAGTGCATGGGAATAGTGGATAGTGTAGGCTCGCGCTGTAAGCATGGGATTGGCGGGCAGCGGGTGTATAACTGTTTGTCAACGATTGATGAAATTGTTAATCCAGATGTCTATCGAAATGGCTCCTATCTTGAAGGTCTCCTGAGAGTTCTTGAGACGAATATGTACTGTCCTCAGCACATAAACAAGCAACCCTTGCAAAAAGTGGCATCGTGGAAGTTGAGCATTGGGGAGATCCTAGAGGGGCACCCTGTAAAGTTGGCTCAAAGCAGTATACCCGAGGAGACCAGAGGCCTTTCCGGAGCTCCAAACACGCAAGGGCCCCCCGAGAGCCCCTCGACCAGCAGGAGCGATGGCCTTGTCTTGAGAAGTGGAAACCTATTGATTCCCAACTTCGATCGAGATTTGAGCACATATTGGCCAACCAAATACAATACCTCCCCCTTTGAGATAATCCCGAAGAGCGACAGAGTTGCTGACTATAAGTCTTCATATGATATGGTCCAACGCGAAATGCTGAGAGAGCTACACGACATGGACCAGAGAGATGGGCATGTTTATATGTATAAGGTTGAAGGAAACCCAGGATTTGTGAAGATTGGGTACACGACTCGTTTCGTGGAGGAACGCCTTCAGGAGTGGGACTTCGATTGCAATAGGGCCTCCAAAGTCCTATACCCCATTTCTTTAAGTACTGCTGCTGCCATTCCAAATGCCCGTCGTGTTGAGGCTTTATGTCACGCGGAGCTGGATCATCGAAGAATCACCATCTATTGCCACGGTTGCCTAAAGCAGCATCTAGAATGGTTTGAAATTCCATCTACAGAAGCCATTGCGGTGATCCAAAAGTGGTCCGATTGGATGGCGACCCGCCCGTACCGGTCCATTCAGCCTAGAAATAAGAAAAAATAGACGATCAGAGAGGAGGAGACAAAGAAAGCGCGGGATATGGACCGTTTTATGAGGGAGATATCAGGAGTCAGCCGATAGGGAGATGCGGGTAGGGTGAGATAGATAGGTGGTTTTATTCCGCTATTATCGGGTAATGGTATTGGGAGATATGAAGAAATAAGTTTATGCTGATTCATCGCGGAAGCGAGCCCCTGGAGATAAGCACAAAAGTATAGTATGATAAAGATCTATTCCTTCGCCTTGGAAACGCTACTCTTATATTCTTAATCATTATATGTTTATATTTGTTGCATATACCGATTTAGCACTTCGGCTTATTTCTATCTCCAGTCTATTCTTAAATATTCATACTTCGCGACGAGTCTTTCCCAGTTTAATTCACACTCTATATATATACTAATTACTAATAAAATCTTTTATCCTGGGTTTTTTATATGATTAACCCTTTTTTATTATAATGTTGATTCAAGGTTTATTTATAGGGATACTTATAAGGTAAGTCTATTAAATAGCTAATAAAGGATAACTAATACACACAATAAGCAAACACAATGGGCAAGCAAGTTCAAAAAAAGTCTCAACCTTCTCAAAATCAACTATAACTAGAAAATAACAAACTATCTAATTAGTTGAAATCAAGTATTATATTCGTTTTCCAGAGGACTCAATACCCTCTTAACAAATTCTTTCATCATGCCTGGCCTTACCGCAAACACCACAGCGCCAAATCCTCGGTTTCTTGACCACCACTTCTTGATGATTTGGCCACTGCCTACATGTCTACACCTATATAATCAATTAGATCCTGACCTCCCTGTACAGTCATACTCCCTCTATTCTATGGGCGCGTCCCTTTTGCCCTACACCGGCGGCTAAGTATATTATTGGCCTGTCGAAGCTATCAGTTCCAGCTGCGTGAAGAAAACTTAGGCTAAAATTGAATTATGACAATGGATCCAGTCTCCCTCAGATATGTCTCTATTTATTCAAGTTCTAAATAACAATGCATCCTTGAGAGAATGCTTTGTAGATTTAGAAAACAATTTGAGATGTTGTGTCAGGGAACAAACTATGTGTTGAAGTAGTTTAATGAAATCACGCGGCTTAGACAAGCGACCGTAACCGTGGGAATTCGGGCAAGACGAATGCCTGAGGCGTTTTGGAACATGGCCACGAGGTTGTCTAATAAAGTTGGGGTAAGGGAGGGTTATCACGCATCTACATCATCACATGCCCAGACATCTGTCTCAAGGCCTTGGCACATATGCCATCTCAATCAGGGGGGAAAAGACATTTAGCTCGTGGGCTCGCATTCTTGTTTCTTTGCTTTTGTCTATACAAAAAAAATGTGTTAATTGTAGTTAGGACCTCTCTCTGGAAGCATACATATACTCACACGAACTCAGCCTGTACAATACACGTCGATGTTCTAATGAGCACTCATGCTCACTCGAATCGACAGGAATGGATAAAATCTTGACATTCCTTAGATGCATCGGCGATAAACATTTATTTTGTCTTACAAGGCGTCAGTTCTCCCTTTGTGGAGTTTTTGTGAGTTGGAAGTGAAACTCTAAGGGATGAGTGATTGGACGACACTCCTCTGTATTTGTAGACGAATTGTGGCATTTCCCGCACTAGCAAATCTGGCCAACAGACGATGCTGATTGGATCGGAGTGAACACGAATATACTAGCCCCCTTCAAGATGTTGCAGGTGTAGCGTTGGGAATGTATGGACATATGGTTATCTCAATAATGCCTGCTGCAGCTTTTACTGCTGAACACAACTAAACCATTTGGCTTGGCAGCCCTTCCAGCTTGAATCACTATTCTCTCTTTGTTTATTATTCTAAGCTATTCTATAATAGGCTATAGGTCAAACTGATTGGATTACTGTGGACTCAGATGCAATTACCTTGTAGATGTCTTAGAAGATTACTCAAGAATGCAGGGAGATTAGGTATCTTGAAATGATTTATGCCAAGCCAATTATCCCTTCAGCTCACTTCACTGCCCGACGCACATAAATATTGAACTTGGTTACCATTACCAATTCGATATCATCACTCTCTCTCATTCATTTCTTAGTTTAAGCCATTCTTTGGCAGCCACTCGTTCACCATGCGTTTGTCCTCATTCCTCCTCGCGGCATGTGCCTCGAGTGCATTCGGGCAGTTCCACCAGAATTTCAAGAGATTTACGAACACTAGTATTCCTGCCACTACGACTTCTTCCTCTGTTCCTAGTTCACTTGATACGAGTGCTACTACGACTGGTAGCTCTGCTCCGTCTACTGCGCCTGTCTCTCTTGGAACGGCCCAGCTTGGTGCAGGTGCTAGTTACACTACTGCACTTGATGGTTCAGCAGCAGTGTGAGTATATCTTAGCAACTACGTAGCATGAGGCACTGACAGACTTTAGCTCTCTCTTCATCCGAAATGGAGTCGCTACTTTCAGACTCGTGCCATTCCTGGCCGCCTTCGCAGGCCTTCGTGTCTTTGTCATCTTCAGTATCCTCGTTAGGCCTCCTCCCGCAGGCCGTAAGCGTCAAGCGTTTGAAGGATGCAGCCTCGAAGTTCGGGTGGATGGCCAAAGCATCTACAACCAAGTAATGACCGACACGGGCGGATCAGAGGTTGGACAGAGAAGCAACCCCGTCAGGCTTAACGCCGAAGGTCGCCCTGATATCCAATACTTCCTGACTTGTGGCTCTGATGCTGTTGAGGTTGTTGTTTCTCATCTCTCTATTGATCAAGCTGGCGAAGATGCAGAGACCACACCTATTGCGCCTATCCCAACGGGTACTGAGACGCCAGGTGTTACTGACACTAACTCTGAAGGTGCTACAACAAACTCCGAGGGCGAGACTGTTATACCTTCCAACACTGCTACCCTTCCTAGTACTAACTCTGAAGGATTTACTACCAATTCTGAGGGAGAGACCGTTATTCCTTCCACCACTGTTGCCCTTCCTGGTACTAACTCTGAAGGATCTACTACCAATTCTGAGGGAGAGACTGTTATTCCTTCCACCACTGTTGCCCTTCCTGGTACTAACTCTGAAGGATTTACTACCAATTCTGAGGGAGAGACGGTTATGCCTCCCAGCACTAACTCTGCTGGCTTCACCACGAACTCGAACGGCGAGACTATCTTCCCCACTGGAACCGCAACTGGCACTCAGGATCAATCTTCCGCTCCAACTGCTACCTCTCCCGCTGGCTTCCCTGACTTCATTGATGCTTTCACCCTCTTTGGCTGTGTCGGATCTACTGATGGCTTCCCTACTTTCGAGCTTGCTCAATCTGACGCCTCTATGGATCTGGATCAGTGCTCTACTCTCTGCCAAGGTCGAGCCTACTTTGGTGTCTATGACACGCAAGTCTTATATTCCCTTTCTGAGTTTCTCCGCAATTGCTGACATTTCTAGTGACTGCTACTGTGGTGATGAGATTGACGGCGACGAAACCGCCCGTGTTGAGCTGGATTCCTGCGACATTGAGTGCCCCGGTGATGACTCTCAGTTCTGCGGTGGCGATTCTCGTCGTGGCAGGATGCACCGTCGCCAGGCCGTTCCTTCTGATCGCCTTCTCACGGTTTATGTTGCTGCTGGCGCTCAAACTGATGTTGTCACCAACGAAGTCACTCGAACCGTCACTGATCAGTCAACTTTCGTCACTACTTTCACCACTACAGTTGCTGGACCTGTCACTACCGCTACCGAGCGCGTAGTATACATCTTTGTTGAGGCCGACTGCAGCGACTGTGACGGCCAGTGGGTCTATGTCCCTAAAGTTTGTGACTGCCAGGGCGGTTTCCAATATGTGCCCTACTTCTGCTTTGCAGGCAGCTGCTCTGGAAAGACTGTGTACAAGTCTCAGGAATGCCACGATTGGTGGAACCACAAGAACTTCTATGTCCCAACAGACTGCGAGGAATGCTCCGATAGAGAGGTCATTTACAAGCCTTGGGACAATTCTTGGGGTACACCTGAGAACTGCAAACCCGAGGAGATTCCTGCCTGTGAGGGACCCAAGTGCCCTCCTGTCTACCCTAACAACAACAAGGGCCAGAACGGAGGTGGTAGCAGTGATCACGGTGGCAGCTCCCAACCTGGCACGCACCATGGAGGTTCCAACAGTGGTTCAAACGGTGGCTCCAGCTCTGACGATCAGAGCAAGGGCTCGAACGACAATAGTTCAAAGGGCGATGGCCCCGGGTGCATTGGAGATGGCTGCACCGGACCCTACGGCGGTGAATCCAACTCCAAGCCTAATGGTTCCCATGAGTCCAACGGCGGTGACTCCCACGGTGAGCCCGCACCTGGCAGCAAGCCCACTGGCCCGTCTATGGAAAGCGGCTCTCACGGTGAGCCCGCACCTGGCGGCGAGCCTACTGGCGCTCCCATGGTTGTTAGCGGCGCCGGCAAGCAGGTTGCTAGTTTTTTTGCTCTTCTGGCTGCCCTCGCCCCTGCCCTTCTCTAGACATTAAATCATTTATTTTCTATGTGAATACTTACATTAAACTTGCTTTGATAGATCGACGTTGCTATGGAGTAAATAATGAAGTCACTGCATCTCGATCCACGTCACTGAGGTAAAAGAGCTACTATAATCCTTAAGTCAGCTTGAATGTGGCACCTGAAATGCGCAGATGACAATGCCTTCTTGGGGGAATGAAGACATCGCGATACAATTGTCAAAACAACTGCAACTTCACCACTCTCAAAATGTATTTTTTCACTAATGCCTGAAATTTAGAGTTTTCTTTCTCCACAAGGCCTAATAGCAACTCACTACTTGAACATTATGAATCTATAGGGATTTAGTATTTAAAATATATTCCTTATTACAATCTCCTTAAAAATAAGAAAGTGCTCATTTGGCTTCTTAATTACTAAGAACAGTTAATTTTTTAAGATAGTAAATCTGCCTATTAATATTACTAAGGATTATAATATTATAATAATAAAGAAGATATCTAAAGATAGAGGTATTACGGCTAGATGCCTATAATTAAAATTAAATATAATAAGAAGGCTAATATAAATCTCTTGAAATAATTTAGAGATTACAAAGGCAGATTAATCATCTTATATTTATATTTATTAATTAATATAGGTGTTACAACCCTAGCAGTTACATCACGTCCCGCCACGGGTGCAGTAATCCTTGGTCTCGTCCTCGTCTACGTCCTGGTCGTCACCAACGGCCGAAATCCAGTGCTTGGCGTCAGCCTGATACCTATCCCTGTTTGATCTGTCGCGGGCCAAATGCCGGCAGCTCCTGCAGCTGAAGCCGGCGTATGTCTCAAGTTCCGGGATCGGTGGACTCCCGGTCGGCCAGTAGCTCCATATCCTGGCCAGTCGGGTCTCGGAGCGCCCGGGGCCGCGAGCCTGAAGAGGAGAAAAATGCGGCGAATGCAATCACCTGCTACAGCTATTTCCCGACCACCCTGTGACAATTGCGGTAATGATGCTCGACTTTATCTACGCCGGGCTTGATGGCGGCCGGGCAGACCAGGCGGCCGTTGGAACAGCTCTGCTTGACTCGTATAGTGTAGACCCCAGGCCTGACTTATAAACTGCCACAGAGATTCATCTTTTCTGCTTCTTCCAGCCGTACTTTTGCGACACTTGCTAAAAGACAATGACAGCCAAGATAGAGGCTTCTGAGGACGCCAAGCCCAAGTACAAACGTGCATCTACTCCGAAGGTCCGAACAGGCTGCATAACCTGGTGAGTCTCAGAATCACCAAGTCCATCGCTCTTCTGGACCCTAAGTATTGACAGGATCGCTGCAGCAAGTAGGTTAACCCGCCTCTCGGCTTTAATTCATTTTAGGGCGATCGGGGACATACAATTGCTTACTAAATAGGATTCGACATCTCAAATGCGATGAAGGTCGCCCTCACTGCCGTCGGTGTCTCGGTGATGGAGTGATTTGTGATCGGTATGCACCCATCGAGCCCAAAATCTCACGGAAACGGCGGCGCCAAGAGAAGAGTACTGCCGAGGCGTTTCAGGATTGTAACGCACTGCCTTCAGCTATTTGCGACACGCATATATTCCCCTGGGCACTGCTCAACAAGCCTTTGTCAATACCTATCAGTGACCAAGGCATCGTCTTTCTAAAAGCACCATATCTCTTGGCACTTTCGCTATCTTCAGCCTCTCGTATCGCCGCCAATCCGGAATCAGAGTTGGCCCCGATTCAGAAACAGGCACCACTTCGAAGTGAGGCAAAGCTCCCCAGGATTGCCGAGCTCGTTCGAGATGCCGCGATGTCGACAACATCCAACCGGGAGTCTATAGTCAGGATTGACCAAGCCCTTTTGCTACCAAGGGCTACCAATTACTGGATAGAATCTGCGGGACTACGGTGTATAACATCGCCGGATCGATTTCATCACGGAATAGACTACCAACGATACAGTGTGTAACTTCGAACAGTCTTATGGGAAAGTAATGCATGTGCTCTTGCAGGTTTACAGCTTCATGGCGTTAGGGCAATAGGGGCCGCGGCTTATTCGAGTAGTACCAGGGGGCCGTGGTTATGACTGTCCCCTTACCCAAGTAGACATTATAACGGCAAAACTTTAAAAGAGCCCAACTCAATTCCGGATACTACTGGCCAGCCATTTATGACCTGATTTATAGTGCACTCTTTTTTCTAATGAAATTAAATCTATTTAAGATCAAAATATCTATCTTGCGTTATTTTCATGAGGAAATAGATACTTTATTTATTTAACAATGCAGCAAATATTGAGCTGAGACCTCACTTCCGGATTTTGGCCTTCCACGCTCTAATCAGCAAAGAAACAGATGCTGAACAGAAGGACGCCCCATCTTGTCTCACAAGCACAGGGTAGAATGAGATCAAGTTCATATGTGAATCTCATCTACTGGACGTGTAGCAGATATATGTACAGCTTCGAGCTAGTCCCAGTCTTTCCTTTACTCCTGGACTGAGCTCCAGAAACTTTTTCTAATCAAGTATATCGTTATATGTGACCCCTTCATCCACACAACGAGTTGATGCAAGAACAGGCCTGAATATTTTTTCTACCTCGTCTAGGAAGTGCCCAAGAGCGGTGATCTTGCAAAGGTTGCTTGGTTCGTTGGACATTCTCTCTGAGGGTTTGTCACAGAAGATTTCCATCGCTAGACGAATGAGCAGGGCTGTCAATTTCTACGCCTTGTCAGTGAAGATCATAGTCTTGCAAATTTAAGTTTAATAATGACTCTATGGTCTAGCTTTCAGTTGGTCCAGAGCTTGGAAATCTCGAAAGTCCCGTCGGCTGGCTAGATTGGTTTTGGTCAAGGACTGGGTGTTGTCTGCCGGGAGGACGTGAAAGAGACAATTCCTCGAAGTTATATTGGTAAGAATGGCTCCCCGGAGTTCGGAACCCTCCGCCACTTTCGTCAGATGCGCGAAAGTGGTACTTGAAAGGATATTAGTTGGTGTTACGAGTAATTGAATGAATTGAGTTAGTGTGCGGCTGAACATACTCGTTGACCTGCCGGTAGATCTTGCATCTCGCGCGGTGGATCATGGGTTTGGCTATGATCGTTAAAGACTATTGAGTGGTGGGTGATGTGGTCAGATTGAAGTAAGAGAAAAGAAACAGAGGGACAAAGAAGAACTCCAAACCATACTCTCGCCAATGATGATGATGATGAGCCGTAAGTTCTCCGACCTATAATGAAATGATATTTAGACTGAAACGAGAAGGAGGATACTTAAGATATGAATATGGATAAGCGAAGGAGAAGGAAACATTATAAGGGAAGAATTCGGCAAATCCGGGGTAATATAAACCAGTACTTCAAGGAGCTGGTGGTGCACGCTTGGGAGATGAGACGGCAACTCGTAGCACATCACTGCACAATGCACGAAAGATTAAGCAAAGCGGAGTCGGGTTTTCCATCAATACTGCGAAACAGGCTATCCCATAATTCACCAGTCTCAAGGCCCGTGGTTGGGCTGTTCCCCGAAACTGACGCCGGCAGGGATTCAGTCAGCCATCAGTTCTGACTGTACTGTATGAAGGACTTGAGTGGACGCTATCCATAGCTACTCCACGTATACTGAGTACTATACTGGCAGTGAGACCCTGCTTGGCATAATGCAATTACTACTTTACGTACCCTGCTCTACCAAGTACTGTACCGCTTGCCTACCTAGGGTGACAGGCATTCAAGCGCAGCGGCGTCGCAGTGGCTGAGACTCCACTAACGGGCTGTTGCATGAACCCGGCCTTAACTTTAGGGCTACGCTAGACATACATTCAGTTTATTTTTAGTACAAATAACTCTATTTTTACGCCTGTTCCTGACGAAGGAGTTTGTTCTTAATTTGATCGATAAAATCCATCACCTTAGACCATATCAGGGTCCGATCTTCTTAAAGACGTGTGTAATTGTTTTCTTCTTTCCACCAGACACAATGTGAGTTTTCCGTTAGTGATGAAATCAAACCCGCAATTTGAAGGCATATTGTTTTACTCTTCGGAATCCCCCACCGAAGAGGCTCTGCAAAATGCCTAAAACCTTTAGGAATCTCAAAATAACTCTATCAGGCACGGACGAACAGACTAAAATAGCCAAGCGGGCTGCTCACTTTGACCCGCTCAGTACTGTCAAACACGAGGCCACTATCCTGTAGGACTTTTCACACACGATGTGGAAGATGACGGATTTCAAGAGGGCCTGGCCTGCGCCCTATCCCCCTCAACGCCGACCCCGCCGCCCCCTATCTTTTGGCCCTCGAGAGTCTCGGGAACCAGTGACTATGTTATGAGGATTGAAGACATAGCCATGTCAACACGTTTAGTGTGGACTGGAATTCGTCCGCTCTCGGCCGCCAAGACAGTGGTCTATGGAAAGCTATATGGTGATGTTGAACAGAAGTCCCTATGTGTATTGGTAACCCACGGGCTGTCGAGTGTTGGATCTAAGCCCTACACTCCAGAATATCTCCATAACGCCAGGGACTAATTTGCGGTAGAGCTTGTATCTTTCTTAACCGCTGGACCACAGCTGGACAAAGCCTGTTGTAGATTTTTATCCACTTGATAGCTCACGCAGGTATTTATACCAGTTGCCTGGATTACCAATGCTTGGACCGAGTAAAAGAGCGGCGATATTTAGTTGTGAGCCAACCTCCTCGAGGCGGCTCGAATGCTCAGATAAAGACGAGAAGGATCGCTCCGGAGGCACATTGAGATGTTTACCGAGGGCTATGCGATACACAATATCCACGATTTGAAGTCCAGTACGGAAGCCTCTGAGAAGGTTGAATTGGATTCCCTTCGTGGTTGTTTGGTTAGAGATATACGACTTGCACTACCTCTCATTTCACGATCATGCAAACAGGTGAACGCGTTGACTCAAACTTCAGCTCTCAGTGACTTGGCGTCGGCGACTAAATCGGAGTATTGACACTAGAATACAAATGTTACTTTAATCTCGGGCGAGAGA